CCTTCCATTGCGTGCTGTAGAAGGCACAGATTTGTATCCAAGTATGGCAGTCATTTCTGTGCTGCCTAATTCTTTTGTACCGATTGTCCACATAGTAGTTATCTACTCTTAACTGTTATAAGACAACCTGCAAATGCTGACAATAACGGCAAGTTCTTGGGTTTGATACCTTTAATGTCACTCGTCAATATTTTAACCTTCATTTGCCCCTATTGCATATGTATTTTTTGCTTAACTAGTTTATAAAGATTGAGAAGCTGTAAACATAAACATAAACAAAAATCTTAACTGTTTAAAGCATCATGTTTATTTGGATATTTAACTTATATTTTGAGACTATTTTTTAAAACAGATTTATCTATTTTTCGAGAGAGAAGAGAGGGAGAAAAAGAGGGAGAGAAACATCAATGTGTGGTTGCCCCTCAGGTGTCTCCTACTGGGGACCTGGCCTGCAACGCAGGCATGTGCCCCACTGGGAGTCAAACTGGTGACCCTTTAGTTCACAGGCCAGCACTCAATCCACTGAGCCACACCAGCCAGGGCTATTTTGAGACTATTTAGAGCAGGTATTAAAACTATCTGAAATTCTCAAGAGGACATGATTATTCTTTTTTTAAAAAATATTTTTAAGTATATATTTTATTGATTATGCTATTACCGTTGTCTCATTTTTTCCTCCCCTTTATTCCCCTCTGCCCTGCACCCCCTCACTCCAGCATTCCCCTCCCCCAAACTTAGTTCATATCCATGGGTCATACATATAAGTTCTTTGGCTCTTCCATTTCCTGTACTATTCTTAACCTCACCGTCTATTTTGTACCTACCAATTATGCTTATTTCCTGTACCTTTTCCCCAATCTCTCCCCACCCCCTCCCTGCTGGTAACCCTCCATGGGATCTCCATTTCTGTGATTCTGTTCCTGTTCTAGTTTGTTTAGTTTGTTTTGTTTTTGTTTTAGGTTCAGTTGTTGATAGTTCTGAGTTTGTTGTCATTTTACTGTTCATAGTTTTGATCTTTTTCTTAGATAAGTCCCTTTAACATTTCATATAATAAGGGCTTGATGATGATGAACCCCTTTAACTAGGCCTTATCTGGAAAGCACTTTATCCACCCTTCCATTCAAAATAATAGCTTTGCTGGATGGAGTAATCTAGGTTGTACGCCCTTGTTTTTCATGACTTTGAATACTTCTTTCCAGCCCCTTCTTTCCTGCAAGATTTCTTTTGAGAAATCAATGGATAGTTTTATGGGAACTCCTTTGTAGGTAACTGTCTCCTTTTTTCTTGCTACTTTTAAGATTCTCTCCCTATCTTTAATCTTGGGTAATATAGTTATGATGCACAGGTAATATAGCCTGTGCTTTCTTGGGTCCAGTTTCTTTAGGACTCTCTGAGCATCCTGGACTTTCCGGGAGTCCATTTCCTTTGCCAGATTGGGGGAGTTCTCCATTATTTGTTCAAATAAGTTTTCACTTTCTTGCTCTTCCTCTTCTCCTTCTGGCACCGCTGTGATTCGGATGTTGGAACATTTAAAGTTGTCCTGGAGGTTCCTAAGTCTCTCCTCATTTTTTTGAATTCTTGTTTCTTCATTCTGTTCTGGTTGAATGTTTATTTCTCCCTTCTACTCCAGATCCTTCATTTCAGTCCTTGTTTCCTTCCCTTCTCTGTTGGTTCCCTGTATATTTTTCTTTATTTCATTTTGCATAGCCTTCACTTTTGCCTGTATTTTCTGACCATACTCAACTATTTCTGTGAGCATCCTGATTACCAGTGTTTTGAACTCTACATCTCACAGGTTGGCTATCTCTTCACTTAGTTTATTTTTTTGGGAGTTTTGATCTGTTCTTTCATATGGGCCATGTTTCTGTCTCAGCACTCCTGGTATGTTGTAAGGGGCGAAGTCTTAGATATTGGGGTGGGACAACACCCCTCGCTGGGTTGTGGCGCTGTATGTGGGGGAGGGGTAAGAGAGGGAACAATGTCACTTGCTTGGCTCTCCGCCTGCTTTCAGTCATTATACCCTCTACCCAAAAGTAAATTGGGCCCTTCTAGTGCTGATTCCTGGGTGGGTGGGTTTGTGTACATTCTAGGACCCTGTGGGTCTCTCCAATGAACATTTCTGTGAGGCTGGGAGTTTCTCCTGCCACCACAACCCCCACAGGTTTTTACAGCCATGGTTTTTGAGGCTTTCTTTTCCCACGTTGGAACCCTGGGTTGCATGGTCTATCTCACTCCCCTGTTGTTCCTCTCATTTTGTCTGCATGTGAATGTGGGACTGCCTGGTCTGTCAGCTGACACCTCCCCTACCCAATCCTCGAGCCACAGCCTTGCTGCCTTGCCGTGTGTCCTCTCCACTCTGGCTGGCCACCTCTGCCCCTCCTACCAGTCTGGATGTTTCTTCTTTAACTCCTTGGTTGTTGGACTTCTATACAGTTCAGTTTTCTGGCAGTTCTGGTTGTTTTTTGTTTTTAAATTGGTTGTTGTCCTTCTTTTGGTTGTGTGAGGAGGCAAAATGTATCTATCTACACCTCCATTTTGGCTGGAAGTCCTAAAAAATTATTTAGTTTTAGAGCTAGGGGAAGGGAGAAAGATGGAGAGAAACATTGATGTGAGAAACAGCGATCAGTTTCTTCTCCTATGCTCCCCAACCAGAGAGCAAACCACAACCCAGGCATGTGCCCTGACCGGGAACCAAACCAGTGACCTTTCACTTTGGGGGACTACATCAAACCAACTGAGCCACACTGGTCATGACATTTTATTTTTGGTCTACTTAAAACCTTTTCCCTTTCTTTTAATCTTATGAAAACCAAATGAATAAGAGCATTGGTGAGTATATTTTTCTGAAACTATGATTTTGTATAACTAATTTTAAAGGATAGTATATACTCTTGATAAGTAATACATCCCAGAATCCATATTTTTTCATTGAAGTTTTAACAACTACATTAAGACAGTGTCTGTCAATAGGCCCCTAGGGTGCAAGGCATGACCTTCTATGGCTTCCTGGATATTGTGATTTCCTGAATCTTGCGGTGGACCAATAGAGCAAACAAAATGATGTAAAGATAGAGACAGGGTGCTTTGAATAATCTGCTCTGGACAATGAGTGTAAATTTCTCTGGATATCGAGCAGCAAGTGCTTACACAAGATCCACCTGTTTTAGCCTTGACACCTGTCCACTAATTGTGGGGTTTGATGTCTTAAATTCTTCATCTGACTCATAGGTGCTGGCTTCCTCAGATTTTTTTTGGGTCTCTGTCAGGCCTGATTCAGACTTACAAATGTATGTCAATGATGGGTTAGACATCAACTATCTGATTAGATGTTTCTGAGTGATTCTAATAACTCCCTGAATAAAGATGTACAAAGGTGAACATTTTCCTTGAAGAAGTCAATGTGATATAAAACTTTAGGAGTATTCCATAATGCAAGGAAGGAATTGAGAAATTATGTTCCAAGACTTCTCCATGAAAGAGGAAGCTTAATATTGTATGAGTGTTGCCTGGGCCTGGTAGCTCAGTTGGTCCCCATCTGCCTAGGCTGTGGTTTGATCCCTGGTCAGGGTACATATAAAGAATGAACCAATGAATGCATAAATAAGTGGAACAACAAATAAATGTTTCTCTCTCTCTCCCTTCCTTTCTCTGAAATCAATCAATAAATTAAAGGAAAACCAAAACCAAGTCAGTTAAAAAAATAATGAATGGGTGTTGATCAAGCTGTGATAGACCCAGTGAAATAAACAGTTGTACGTTCCTGTGCATACAGGCGGATGGCATTGGCTGTTTACACCTGCCGAGCCTCATACCAATGCGCAGTCACTTAGCTCATCCCAGCTGCCAGGGTTAGTGTGGTCACATGTTTAAACCACCTGGGGCAGGTGCGGAGAGTGTACAATCAACAGCTAGTGGCACTGGGACCTTGGATTCACCTGTGGCACTTACTGTTGCAGCGCTGGCATTTTGTAGAGTTCTGTGTTTTGGCCACTAGGGTTTAGTCTGGGACAGTGAAGGTCATTCCCTGAGTGAGAGTTACCCAGTGCTCGCTGTGTGCTTGCTTGGTTGCATTCCAGGACTGGGGAAAAAGTCCCAAATTTAGAATTGCACACAGCAGAGCCAGAGGCCTGACTCAGCCCCTCCCAGGGGGCTGAGCTGGTCCCTGAGGCAGTGACACTGAGCTAAGCACAGCCAGCCCTCAAAGGGGCAGTGCCCCAGGCCCCAAGAAGCTGTTTCCAGGGGTCTTCAACCTGACTCCACCTTTGTCCCAGCTGGTCAAAATCCCAGGAACTGGGACCTGGGATCAAGTTTTTGAAGACGGGTGGCAGTAGCCAGTGGGTGGGGAGGCAGGTAGCTACCACAGAAGTGAGATAGAGGGTGGGCAGGGGGCGGGGCTAAGCCTCAGACCCTCCAGAGCCAGGTGGGGAATTCCTGGGTGTTTAGGAAGTGCCCAGGATCTGACTGGGTGGGCACACAGAACTAACTCAATCTCTATCATAAGAGTTGGGTGTGACCAGCAGAGTCCTGGAGACCCACATAGGGCCTGGGGGCCTGGACTCTGGACGAGAGGAAAGGGACAATCTAGATGGAAAGGGGAGGCTCAGGAATGGGGTTTGAAGACACGGGTCTCGGGCATGACAGTCAGGGAAGGGAGGTGGGGATGGGCAACAGAGTGTTAAGAAACCCAGTATTGTATTTTCTGTTCTGTGGGCCCCTCAGCCCACTGCTGGGCATATGGCTTCAGTGAGTGCAGCGGGGCCCGGGCACCAGCAGGGGCAAGAAGGGGACAGAACCACCTCACCCCACACATTTTCAGGGAAGCTGTTTCCACAGTATGTTTCCCACTTTATCTGAAAAAAGAAACACATTTTGAGAGTGCTTTTCTCTGTAGCTTCTGTTCGCAGAAATTTAAGTTTAAATTCTCAGATGGTTTTTATTTATAAAGAAACTAAACCAGACATTTTTTCTTCTTTATTGCAAGCAGATTCAAGTCTCCTGCTTAGATAATCTGCAGAAAAGTCCAATATAATTAACTCATACTTTATCTACAGAAATAAAAGTTAAAAACACCATACAAAATAAACTTTACAGAAATGTAAGATTTGGTTCAATTTACAATTTAATTTTTCAAAGCAGGTTAATGAATTATCAATTAAACATGACTGTTTGGAGGCTGATTTATTATCTTAAATGCACCTACTATATTAAATAATTTAAAAATAAATTCCAGTATTTATGATGATGACAACTATAGATTCCATTCCTGTTTAATACATTTTTTAAGATTCTCTCTTATTACATTACATAATAAATGGACATTTTAAACAGCGATGCAGACACACATTATAATTTTAATTCAGAGACAATATATGCATATGAAAATTCTGTATATTTTGATAAGGTAAAAAATAAAGCTATATAAACTAATCTTTAAATTTTTTTCTGCAAAAGTAGAATCACACTTTAATAATACTTCCAACACATCTTCATTAAAACTTTGTTTATAGACAATATCAGAATGATTCTCATTCTCATTTACCTACCCCTCTAGCTTTAAAAAAAAATTCATGTGCAAACAGAAATATTTCCTGTTTTTAAAGTTATGATGGGAAATTTCCAAAAGAAATGTAGAACACAAGAAAATGCATACCGAAATTATATTGAGCTGTCAAATAAATAATATTAATTTAAAGATAATGTAGTAGTGGTTGCTTTAGGTTATTATTAGTCAGTGCAAAACAGGTGAAATTAGTGGTTTTAAAGAAAAAGGCCAGAAAACTTCCTTTAGGTTGCACTGAACATTTGGCTGATGCCCAGCAATTTAAGAATAGTTATGACAGCATGGGTGAGACATTTTTGTAGTTAAAAGTTGCAAGATCTCACCACGCCAAACTACAATTCTATAAACCTGCTATTGCAAAAGCAGGTCATTCTTAGCCTCCTTTCCTAGTCCAGGCTCCAGTCACCAGGTGTCATCTGGTCTGTGTTCATCCTATTGGGTCAAATGCATAGAGGTGTGTTGATCTGGGTTCTAATAGGGTTTGCCAAGAGAAGGCTGCCTTTTCTCCCAGCTGCCCTGAGGCAGAGGGCCTGCCGTACTCCTGGATGCACGTGAAGATGCTGCAGCTGGGAGGGTCCAGAGGCCACTTTCTGCCACTTGTCCTAGGGATGAAGCTTAGGCCAGGGCCCTGCTGCTTGGGTCATCCAGCAGCTCCGCTTCAAACCCAAGGGCTGCACTCGGCAAAGCCTCCTGTGTCCTGCCTGGGCACTTGGCATGGAGGTCCAAGGAGCCTTATCTCACGGGATCCCCTTAGGAAGGAGACAGGGATGCTTCGGGCCTAGGGAACTTGTATGTGTATGTAGTTGTGTGTGTGCATGAGAACTGGCACATATGCACATATGTGGCCATGAGTGGACCTGGAGCTGAAAGCAAGAGAATGCAACGTGGTCGGGACCACTCATGCATAGATGACTTGCTGTTGGGCTGGAGTGTGGGTTAGGAAGCATATATTCTGACCAATATTGGAAATTATGAGTTAATAATCTATTAACATATGCAGTCATGAATAAGATTTTCAAAACTTAAGAAAAATGCTTAAATAAGTTGACATTACTTGCTTTAAAGTTAAAGACAAGTAAATACTAGCTACTATAAGGTGAAAAATATCACATTAATATCTGAATATCAGAGACATATCTGAAATGTCATTTCAGTGGGGTTCTTCTCTTCCTCCTTTTATTTTTTATCTCATGCCTCTTAATCTATTTCAAATGATCAGGCACAGTCCCTTCATTTCCCAAACAGTTTTTAAAAAACATTTTGGAGTGTGTAAAGGTTTAGTGACTTTCATAATGAGACTTGAAGTGTCAGAGGTAAATGGTAACTGTCTCAGTACAGGCAGAAAGAAGATACTGAACCATCAAGTAAGAAGCTTCTGTTTTAAGGCTGAAGGATAGAAATTAAAAATAAAACAAAAAGCAGATGAAATTGCAATTAACTGTAAAGAAGAAGCATAGCAAAATATCACACTCTCAATATGCCTTTCAACTCATCGCTGCCACCAGAAACACCAAAAAACAAACAGGTGCAGAGAATTAAATCAAACCTGAAAATTCACATTCATCATATATTGAGACATTCAGTGAAAACTCTCACCAGAATTTAAAGTGGCCAAAATTTCTTCAACTTAAAAAATAAAAGCTTTAAAAACATACTTTAAAAATTAGATATGATATGTTAACAAATAAATGAATAAGAGATATAAACAGCTATGAAAATACTTCAGTGCAAAGGCAATTTTAAGATTTCTAAAAAAATACATTACAAAGAATTTGTTAACTAAACATACAGAGAATCTGTCCCCCCTACAGGTATTACATTTATACCCATATTAAGTTCTTAAAAACGGCTGTAAAAATGCACACACCATTGTTTGCAGGGTCTAGTGTGGACCAGAATGGCCAAGGGCTGCTACCACACGTAGAACATGGGGACGTGACAGGAGGACGGGACCGGGACTGGAGGGTGTGGTGAGGAGGACCCTCATAATGGAAATGGTGCCCTCCTCATTCTCTGTCTTACTCTAAACCAAACTTCCCTTACCTAGTCTTTGGTATGGTGTTTATACTTCACCTCAATTTATCCCAACTACTTTATGTTCACTGTTCTCACTGTTAATTTGCCCCGTATGTCAAATAAATATTTTTACATGAAACATTACACAATCAATTTGTGAAATTTGAACTTCCAAAAATATCTAACATCAAGTATCTCTGAAACAAACTCAGTGTTCAATTACCAATAGCTCCAAATTTCACAGCATGAAATCTGACAGTGGACAAGGTCCCTGCTGTTGGTTTAGCTTCCAGTGACGCTTTTCTTAAAAGGCATCTGTTTTAATGTCTGAAATCTGAATCTCAAACTGAAATGTCTTCTTTAAGGACCATTAAGGCTATGTCAACTAGGTTATTTCTAGAAATAGAAACACCAGTACAGAAAAGTGACAGGAACTTCACAATACAGCAGCCTCCTGATGGCTTACCCACTGGACAGCATGCTAAGACAAAGCAGAGATGGAACAGAAGAACACTCAAAGCAAGGCTTGGTCAGAGTTACCAGGAAGGTGGCAGTCTAGGATGGCGATATTGCTTTTTAGGACCCGGCCATCTTGCTGGCAGACCTGCGTCGGCCTGAAACAGATTCTGGAAGATAAACACCGCCCCTAGAGACCACCTTTGCATGAAGACATTGAAAGGGGGTGGACTATCACAGCGGCTACTTGCCCAGGGCACCCCAGACCACCACCCTTCCCCTAACGTCCATGAAATAAACATTTCCCAACAACAGTAAACTTATAAGCTTTACCCTTGGGTGAGTAAAGACAAATGTATCAAAACTTGTACAAGGAGAGCTTAAATGGATAGTATTACCTCTTCCTCTCATGCGAATAGTCCTTTTTTATTCTCCACAGAGGCAGCTAGGGGACAGGAAAAGTGGAGACATGGAAACATTCAACAATACTCCCAAATATACAGGAGTAACATCACCCCCAGAGAAACAAACTTTGAATCAGACACAACCCTAAAAATCAGCTTCGGGATGTGGAGGGTTCTGAACAAAAGCAACAGCACAGTCTGCGACTCTAACGGGAAATGGATGCACAATTATTTGAGTGTCAGTGCCAAAAGCGGAAGTACCAGAGGGCTCTGGAGAAGGAAGGGCAGAGGCCAGACCCATCGGTCCCATGGCAAGGGCGAGTCACATCTGTGCTTACATGATGTTTGGTGGGTGTGACTGCCTCCTGCTTGAAGTTGGACCACCGATCTCCAAGCAGATGTCCTCCTCAGGTGATGCATGTAGTGGAGGTGACAGAGGGCACAGACACAGAGACCTTGACCCAGGACCAATGTACCAGGTCCTGTGCATGTCCTTCTTTTCAGCAGCCCAACTAAACACCCGAGGCCGCCAGGCCTGCGAGAACGATGATGCAGACTGCCAGACCATGCACTCCAGCCAGGTCCTGTTGCCCCTTCCTCTTCTTTTGGGGGCAAAGGAAAAGCACACGTGTGCACAACACACACTTGCAGTGTGGTTCTTAAAGGCTTGAACTGGTGATCTGTTCGCCATCTGTCTCCTCACAGGGCCCGCGGTAGCAGGGTCTCCAGCTGGGATGGCAACGGTTGTTTGAGACATTGACAATGGGAGGGAGGACTGAGCACTCCTTGCTCTCTGGGCACGTTAATGTCACCTGTTTGGAGCAGGAGCCTGGCCGCGTGGCCGAGGGACTGGGGCTGTGCAAAGAGACAAAACGGCTGACTTCTAAGAGGTGGTCCTGACTCTGTGTGCGCGTGCTCTGTTGGAGAATGGAAAAGGCAGAGTCAGGACCAGCCACAGGAATCCCATTAACAATGATCTGGTGCAATCACTGCCATCACTGTCTTGGTCAGGGACTCCCACTACAGGACATAGATCAGACGGGGTCTGTCCCATATGAACTGTGCCACAGAGGCAGTGTGTGATCCTTGGTCTGGCTACGAACTTCCCTTGTCGGTCCTACCATGGGTAAAGATGATGTTCATAAATATGCAAAGGCCCCAGAGACTAAGTTGGATTCCTTTAACGTAAGAGTGCTAAACCAGCCCTCAGGAGCGGGGTCCACTTTGCGCTGACTGGCTGTCTCGCCATCTCCAGCCTAGGCTGATCTCTAGACGCAGAGACAAATGGGGTCTGTGCGGTTTCGTATTAACAGCCCAAGGAGACTGGTGACACATCCTAGACATTGTAAAACTTAACAGGCAGGGAGGGAGTGAGGGAGAGCTGTATAAGAGAACCACCATTCCAGGCATGCCTGCTTTTTGATAGAGAAGATGGGTGATTGCGCCAAACCTGAGAAATCTAGCCCAGAAGGCTTTATAAATATGGCTACACTTCCTCTCCTTGTTTTTCAGGCACAGACATATCTCCATGTTTTTGCTGATGGATGACAATGCATCCATACCAGACATCACTGCAAATCACACAATACTCCATTTTTTTATTTCCAAATATGGCCTTTCCTGATAGACCTTTGAGGTGAAGCTGTTTTCACCACCAAGGATGAGGAATGAGATCTGTTCTGGCACACTCAACACCGAGCACACCAGGTGAGGATGTCATATAAGTGCACGTGGAACTATGTTCACCACGGCGTGTGTATGTATGTTAGGGGATGTGCACGCATCCACACATGCACATGTATGTGTGTACAATACTCAACCATATACAGTCCAGCCACTCTCAGGCAGGTCACTTACCTGGGATAGAAACACACCTGTGTGGGTAAAAATAATTTTCTTTTTTTTAAAAATGGACCTTTGTTATCAAAATGGCACAGCACAGCAAAACTTTGGAGGAAAAACAGAGAGTTTGAAAGGCTCACAGCACACCCAGGAAGCCTGCCAGCATGGTGGATGCCGTTACCTATCCTTGGGCTAATCACGCCTCGGCCCCGGCAAGATGTCCTTCAGAAGTGGCCTGTCCGTGCTCGGCGCGGCATCGACCGCTGTTTTGAGTTTCGAGCTCTTCTGCAAGGCGAGGAAAGACACTGAGATGGCTGCCTCATCGGGAACTGAGAGAGCTCTCCGGGCAAAATCCAGCCATGCAGCTGGGACACTGGGGCCAGCACGCACAAGGGCATGAATAGGGCAGGTGGAAGTCTGTGCAAAACTTGGGGCAGTGGGATGGGCACAGGGCTTACAGTGTGGGCACCTCCCAGGGACTCTGCTGCGGGAAAGAGGTGGTCTTCCTAACAGGGCCTTTCACGTGAAAAAGTCTGAGGGACGGAGCTGGTGCAGTGAGGACAGGGCCTCAGCTGTGAGGGCCGCCTACAGGACCTGCTCCCAACCCAGCGAGGCCGGCCTCTGCTGAGAGCACAGGAAGTGCTTCCAGATCCCTGAAGTGAAAAATCCTACCATACTTGCCTGAAAGCTTTTTGAGTGACATTTACTAAATAGCTATGCCCTGCCACAAAAGAGCACCAAGGTTCCCTAAGGGGAGGAACTGTGTGCCTGTCCATCCTTGTCCTTCTGTCTCTATCTTCCTGCCGGACCCCATCCGTCTGTCCCTATACCCCTCCCTTTCCTTCTGATTCTTAGCCCTCTCAATTCAGCCCTGTATCTAGTCAACCAGAAGAGTCCCGCCCAAGATTAGAATCCTGAAAGTTCCAGGTGTCCCGTGCTGCAGGTCAACAGGGCCGGGCATCTGAACATTAAGATTTTCCAGTCAAACTGTATTAGTTTCTCAGTAATAGGAAGAAGGGATTTTAAAAGGTGAAGAACTTTAAAAGGTTTGAATTGCAGAATGCCTTCTGGGGAGGAGAAAAATGGGCTAAACAAGAGGTGGAGTTGTTACCCTTTGAATTATATATAATTCAATTATATATAAAAATATAGGTAGACATAGATATATACATATATAAGTTATATATGTGTATATATATACACACACACACGTGTATATACATATATGAAACCTGGTGCCTGTGATGTTTCACTTTTTAATAGAACAGATTGAAAGAAAAAAACCATCCATTTGAAGTACTCTATATTCCACATAAGGATTAGTCAAATGTTTATTCCTCCAAAGTTTTGCAAAGGTCTGGGTGGTTTTACCGCAACACAAGCATTCACCTTGTGCGTACCAGGAGCATGCTGGCTGTAGGGACTCTGTGAAGGTGTGGTTGTGGGGCTACCTGTGGGTCACACCCCACGTGGCCCGGACACCACAGAGCCCTCAGTGCCGACCTTCTCCAAGCAGCTAGAGTCTGGCTTCTGCAAAGGTTCAGAAGCAAATCAACTCTTAATAAACCAAATCAATAGATACAATATTTATTTTTAGCTCAGAGTTGGCATGATTGAATCAATTTCATAAGCACCTCCTGAAACTTATTAAAGTGTTCCTAATAACTCCATCTTAAATGTTTTCAAGTATGTAAACAGTGACATGAAGTTATGTAATTAGTTCTACAAATTCTGATGGCACCAGGTTAGAAAAATTTTGATTACCAATAATTACTTGAACTGAAAAAGGGTACCATCCTGTTAGTTAAAAAAGTTTAAAATGTATAGAAGATGAGCAGTTATTTAAAGGGGAAAAAAAGCCTTTTTCTTGCTTTAGGTATTTTCCTATTAAACAAGCTATAGTGGTAAAATAGTACTACCAAATACCTTTTCAAAGTATCATTAATTTTGGATCTATGTGGCTAAGAAACAGGCCACTATAGCCATTGGAAGCAAAGTAGAAGGCTTTTTCTAGAATTTGGTAAAACACATCTCTCCTGGCTTTGTCCACAGACCAAATGGCTTGCTTGAGTCCTGTCTTTTTGCAGTGCTCTGCAGGGCCCCGAGCACACTTTGGTGTGGAGGCCTCAGTTTCCCTGTCTGCAGAATGGATTTACAGAGGTGAATGTGGGCCAGGAGGCCCACATCCTGTCTGGGGTGCGGAGAGAAGGACGGCACTGAGGTCACTTTGCTTGCTTAGGCGCTCCTATGACTTAGGAACAGCCATGCCCACACCTTTGAGTGTAGGAACCATGAATTTAAGGCAGCACAGCCCGACGCTCTCAGCTGGGCCTGAGTGAAAACACAGCTGCCCCTTGCAGGTGGGATCGATACTTCAATGGACACTGAGAGAGAAACACTGGTTAGTAGTATTGATAGAAAACACAGCCCATGTGCCCTTTCCACATCCCAAGGGACACGTTATCCGTTTATTTCTTGGTGTGGTGGTGGTTAGAACATACAGAGGAGTCATAAATACCCGAGTGTGTGTTTGATAGCTCTTGATATTAAAAGTCAGACCTCTGTTGTCCTGTGACTACAATCCCAAACATGCAAAAAGACAGAAAAGCATCACCTTGTTCCATCAGAAACTCAGACTGCTGGAAGTCTGAGAAAGCATAAAGATGGTTGACTGCTCAACAGAAAGGCACTGGTTCTTAGTCTGCCAGTCCCAGAAGGTTCAGGAGGCCACGCACATCATTAGACAAGGTAGTAGTGGTTATTTAGGCAAAGCAGTCAGAAGATGGAAGGGAATGAAGAAAGGAAAAGAGAAATAAGAGCAGACTGTGAGTCTGATTAAATGCCAACAATGCCCTATGTACATCAGTGCTGCCACACTACGTCAACTTGTGGCATGTCAAGACCAGACAATGTGGGCCACATTCTGGACAGTCCTGGCCCTGTCTAGGGACACTCACTTGCTGGAGGGCAGTGTGGACCTCCCATTCCTGCTGTATTTTTTCTTGCCACCAAAGCCCTGAACACATCCCTGCCCTACACTGCTTGTTTAAAGGTGATAACATGAATCAATTCGTGGTGAAACTGGGCATGTACACTCTCATGAATCTCTTCCTGAGTTTGTGTCAGCACTGACTTTGCAAACTTGGCCAGTACATAAAGGAGGGAACTGCTAGGAACTGGTGGCACTGGCTTCAACATTTTACATTACACCAGAGTTCTAAGAAAGCTCATCAACCTGGATCCCATTCCACTGCTGGGATGAGTACAGGTGGTACAATGGCAGTGCCGTACCACCTCCACTCCAACCCCAGTGGAGGGCTACCTGTTTTCGGTCCCAAACATGGGCCAACAGCACCCTTCCTCCCCCTTTCACCTGTGCTCTAAGAGGAAGACATGCAACCAGCAGGTACAGCCCCTGCTCTGGCTCCACCCTCTCACCAGGATCCTTCCTTCTCCTTGTTGAGGCTCTGCACCAATATGGGCAAATCACAGGGGTGAGGGGATGGGGGACGTGCCCTCCCTGAGATTGCAGGGGTGAGGGGATGGGGGACGTGCCGGCCCTGAGATTGCAGGGGTGAGGGGATGGGGGACGTGCTCGCCCTGAGATTGCAGGGGTGAGGGGATGGGGGACGTGCTCGCCCTGAGATTGCAGGGGTGAGGGGATGGGGGACGTGCTCGCCCTGAGAACTCTGGGAAGGGCCAGAGTGGTTTTGGGAAGCTCTGAGTAACACCTTCTGGTGTCCTATGCCAGTCTGGGCATTTTGGATATCTCACTTTTTACCTAAATCCAGAATTTAGCTTGTCGGGCTCAATTTGGGAGTGTGCAAAATAAGTAGCCCTTCTAATTACCAGAATTTTGCAATATAAATGCTAAAATTTTGAGCCAAGTTCACCATCCTTAAAAATAATGCAATTTTACCTTTAAAGTAATGATTAATTTAAAAAAGTTTTTAAATTCACACAAATTTCTTTTGTATTGGCTTAATCTGTTTCTTATCTCAGCTAATTAACTGCTTAGGTCTAAACACTGGTCATCTTGAATTTTACTTAATGTTTAAAATAATCTATCATAAAAGTCATTAGTAATATTTGCACTGATGATATTTTCAACCCAAACCTTTCACACTATCCTTTGTCATGGCATTTCCCACTCTGAACCCGGGGAGCTGCAGGGCACCATGCCCCTCCTGGGAGCAGCTGGGTACCTGGACTCTCTCTGTGGCGCTGGGCCACAGCTGCCTGCACAGGACTTTCTTGAGAACATCGGGAAGGAGGCTGACAGTGATGAGCAGAATGATGGCCAGCCAGGCAGGGCCGCTGGATAACATCTGTATGAACACATAGTACATCCTTTGATAACTGAGGAATGGCCTGGAAGGTGGAGGGAAAGAAAAAACAACATGACGGCAAGTCAGAAGTCATCAGGAGAAATCCTGAAATCCTGCTCTGTTTTCTCTACTAGCACAAAGAGCCCATTTGTTCCAGCAGTTTTTACTTTTATCGCCGAGAGTAATTGGGCATGCCATTTAGCTTGCCTCCTTCAAGTTAATCATTTAAATAAGTGGATGTTGAACTTCCCCCATAATGTTGGGGTGTTACAAATTGGCAAAGGAGGAAGGAATTCTATGAGGGTGTCCCAAAGGGAAAATAAGTCCCTGAAGTACAGTTTCAGAACAACAAAAAAATATTTTAAAACATTAAAATAGGTAATAGGTAATTTTTTTGTACTGCAAAATCACAATGGCTGTTAACATGAAGATATACAAAGGTTGTAATCAGCAGAGCTAGTTAACTACCTAAAGCTTATGCCATAAAAATCTTTTAAAATTTTCTATAAAAATACAGAGTATAAAATGACTTCCTCATCAGGCAAGTCTATAATTCAAAGAAAATATTCATATTGGGCTCCATGAAAGAAGCTGAAAGGATGAAGCAATTGATAATGATGATGAACTTGAGTTACACAGTTTCATGATCCCTAAAGCCCAGGAGCTAGTCAGAGGAGTTTTCAGAATGAAATCTTCCTCTTACACAGATATAGCTTTGGGAAGTTCTCTAGAACTTCAGGGATTTTTAGCTTGGGGCAGGGTTGTTGGAAACCCACCAAAAGCTTATCTAATTTTTTTGTCGTATTTCCAGGTTCCAAAGAACATGTAGTGCATGCCTTTGGTCACTAGAGGGCAGTGATGTAATAAGAGGTTGGCGGGAATTTGTGATCACCAACATGGGGACAAGACTGATCACAGGGGCTTTCTCTCTGTTTTCAGGGGCTGCCTGTGTGTGTTTCCCAGCAGTTGTGCTCCATACTGAAGATATAAAGAGGAGAGGACATTGCTTCTGGACTCACATCCAGCCAGGCCTTGGGCAAGGCCAGCACGTCCAGTTGAAGGAGGCACTCCCCCCCCAGGTCACGGCCCTGGGGCCTCCTCCCTGGCCTTCCCCTAGTCCCAGCCATGCTCAGGGAATGCTCAGCCTTACAGGGAAGGTGGAAATGTAAACAGGAGAACTACAAAACCATATGGTACATGCTGTGACAGGAGAATGAATAAATGCTTGGGGAAGAGGTTGGAACCATCTGTCTGTGAGGTGGGTCATGGGAAGCACTGAAGAGGACAATGAACCACTGGGTTTTGAAGGATGAATAAGGGCTAAACAGGTAGGCTAGTTGGAAAGGACATTTTTGGTGGAACAGCATGGGCAAAGTATGCTTGTGGTAGTACCAGAATAGATGCAAAATACAGCCACTAATAAGTGGCTTCATCAGGATTGACCAAAATAACATCACATTTGACTGCTTTGTTGCAACAATATCTAAACCACTTGTCCTGTTCTCTTCACTCACACGTTCATTTTCAATACAGTGGTCTTTCGAAAACAGCAATTGGACTCTGCCACTCCCTCCATTTAAAATCCTCAATGCCGTCCCACTGTCTTCAGATTGGGGCCAAGGTCCTACCTGGCCTATGGGCCCCGTGCGGCCTGCTCCTACGTACTTCTCCAGCTGCACCTAGGCCTCTTCCCAGTCACAGCGGACATCCCTCTGCCTGCCAGGGCCCTGCCTCCGTGCTTTTGCACATGTACCTCCCTTCCTTGGGAGCAGGGCTCTGTGTGGAGTCAGACTGCTTTGGCCCAGTAGAGTCGGTCTCCATGTCTGTCTTATCATTTGTAGTATACAGAGAATGTGGTTGTGGGAAGACAAAATGAGACACACCCTATCAAATACTTAACCCATGCCTCATTCTAGGAAGCATTTAATAAGTGTGACCTATTATGATAATGATGGTGATTTTTCTGCCAAGTTTCAGTTTAAATAATAACTTTAGTAGAGAAGGCTTCTCTGACCTTCAGTCTGAAATAGGCCCCTTGCCATACATCCAGTTTGCTTCTCACTTATCAAAAGCCGGATTAGTTATTATCCAGCATGTCCTCACCCACTGAAAATGTGGGGTCAAAGGAGCAGGGACTGTACCTGCCTCATGCCCTCTGTGGTCCTCCAGGCCTTGGCACAATGCCTCGCACACACTAGGCATTCAACAAATACTTGCACACAGGACTGAGGTTTTATGGACAATGTGTCTGAGCCCCCAGTGAAAGATACTGGAGGACTATAAAGGTAATGATGATTACATAATACTTATAATTCATACCAGATAATTCCTCCCCAGAGGAGTGAAAAGACGATGTAGAAGAGCAGTGACCCCCAGATAACAAAATGGTTTATCCAAGTCCAGTAGTGTGTATCTAATGCCAGCTGAAAAGAAAAAGACGGTCAATTGTAATATTATCTGGACATGTCAGTGTGAGCCATGGCAAGGAAAGAAAGCCAGAAAATAATGAAGCAAACAAACCAACCAATACCTCAATTTTAGCCAAAATGCCCATATGAAACTGTTTAGGGAAAACAAAACCTTGTTCTTCCAATGAAGGTAAGGAATGTACAACATCACAGTCTTTGTAATCACACTACCCCTAGTAGCTCTCCCCTGGGCCCTGGGGAGATGCACCTCGGGAGGCTTCCTCCAACAGGGGCCGGGGGCGGGGGCAAGACTCAGGGCAACAGTTTCAGGTCTCGGCTATATGCCTACTAAGGAAATTACTTTTGGATTTTCTTTGTGATGCTTTATAAAATTCAGATTGATAGGTGCGGGGAATTTCATAACGATATTCCATATAAAATTTGACTTTTGAAATAATTTTAACCTGAATCCTTTTCTAAAGGCTCATTGAGGGACGGGTAAAAAAGGTGACAGGGATTAAGAAGTACAAATTGGCAATTATAAAAATAGTCTCGGGATGCAAAGTATAACACAAGGAATATAGACAATAATATTGTAATACCTATGTACGGTGTCAGATTGGTACTACACCTATTGAGGTGATCACTTCATAAAGTATATATTGATAGATGTCTCATTACTATGCTGAACACCTGAAACTAATATAATGTTGTGTATCAACTGTAATTGAAAAACAATTTAACAAAAAATAAATTTAAAAGGAAAGGGCTCTTTCCTTCACATATCATCTGTATAATTCCAGAACTTTGCATATCAGATCCTGGGGTGAGCCAGTCTGCTCTGCAATCCCAGTGTGGGTTTGTAATTTGGAACAGATTTGTAATTCAAAGATGGGGAGACCTAAACATGCAGGAGTTAACTGTGGCAGGAAAAAGAAATATCAACATGAGAGAATTTACCTTTAGTGTAACTGTAAATACCATTACAGTGAACACCAGCGTCCCGAAGGTCCAGTTTCCAAATATCTGTGGGGACAAACAGTCCAAGCAGTCTCTTGTTAATATGTATTTTTCTCTTTTCACACTCAGACAAGAGTGTTTAGAGAATACATCTCTTTGTTCTTGTGTGCCAACACTTCAAACGCCAAAGATACAGGGACTTGGTCTTGTTACTATAAAGTAAAAGGAGATGGCAAAGGGGCACTCAAGACCCCCTGCCTTCCCAGCACCATTCCTATACTGACGGTCCTGTCGTCCTTGATATTGGCCCCCTCAGTGCTGCCCACAAACATCGGCCCTAACATCACAGACTGGAAGCAAGAAAAATACCGAAGAGCTAGTATTACTATATGCGTGATGCTAACTCTGTTTTTCCTGTTTTGCGTTTCATATAGAAGCAACATTTGCCCAATTATGTAGTTCTACGCCTTCTGCATGATCAAGAATAAACCCAGTAGAGTTTCTGTCTATTCTCTTTTGGGCTCAAGTCAAACACCTGCCTGCTTTGGAAGAAAAACAAGTGCTAGAACATTTTGCCAGTAGGCAATGAGAGAAAACAACCACATCATGTATGGGTGACACATGGAGGGGGCTTTCCTCGGGAAAATCACAGGAAAGGGAGAAATGAAGGCAGGCAAGACAGCACTGCATGAAGGCACCCCCACCCCCCGCAGCCAGTCTGAGATGGCCAGAGCCACAGACGTGTCCACAGTCTGTCAGGAAAGGCCGCCGAGAGGAGAGAACACAGAACAGGGCTTCAGGCGCCTCTGAGGACTCGGCAGGATGCGGGGAAATGGCCATGTGGTAGAAACACACAAGAGTCACATCATGAAAACACCACATTTCTCAACTACAGACAAACACACAAGCAAAATAAAACATGGCTACTTAAGACTTCTTTCTCTTAGAGCGAAAAATTCAGTCTATAGGAGATTTATGCTATGAGAGTAAGTTTCTTCAAGATTTCTACACAAGGAATCCGGTGCGCCAGATACTTGGAACCCATGCCTCTTAGAAAATGTTCCATGTATGTCTTTAAAAGAAAATAAAGCTGTATTTCACAAAGAATTTAAAAACTGGAATAAAAATGGCTTTTCTCTATGGTTAATTTTCAAGCAAAGAAATATGCCTGCACATAACTTGATTCAGGTGAATGTGTAAGGCTACCCATCCTGTGATATATTTCATGAGGTAAGAACGACTGGCAGAGTTCTAGAAGAAAACCTAACTATAGTGTTAGGACTTTGTAGTAAACAGACTTCTTAAGGGCCAACCCACCCCTCTCCAAATCAACATCTCTTTACACTTTATTCTTCACTTCATCGTCATGACTGACACTGGGCTTTATCCCTCAGATCCACCTGTGTGCCAGGGGCTCTCAGTGGGGAGTGGGTACAGGGCAATTCTGTCCCCAGGGGACATTTGCCATGTCTGGAGACATTTTTGGTTGTCACAGTGGTGGGAGGGGGAGTGGTGGCATGTAGCAGGCAAAGGCCAGGGGTCTGCTAATTGCTCTGGGCAGCCCACAACCCAAGAACTGTGGGGTCTCAAATGGCATATAGTGGCCAGGCTGGAAGACCCTCAAAAAAGGTGTTCTCCCTTCAATGCTTAACTTTTTTTTAATCATCTTCACCCAAGGGCATGCTTACTGATTTTAGAGACAGGGGAACGAAGGAAGAGAGAGAGGGAGTCAAACACTAATGTGAGAGAAAAACATTGATCGGTCACATCTTGTAAATGCCCCGGCCGGGGACGGAACCATAACCTAGACATGTGTCCTGACCCGGAATCGAACCTGTGACCTTTCGGTCTACCAGATGACACTTCTATAAACTGAGCCACGCCAGCCAGGGCCATGTTTTACTTCTGAGGTGGGGAAATTTTATAACTCTGAATCGGGCTGGAGTTTGGCAGAGGCCTACAAAAACGCTTGGCCAGCTGGGTGTTGGAGAACAAAGTGGCTCTGTTTTGTTTTCACTGGAAGCTGACGTTAGCCGAAGTGAAGGGTGACCCTGCAGTAAGGCGAGGGGCAGCTCTGACTCCCACGTGGGCGTCATCAGTGGGACCTGGCAGCAGGGCCATCACCCTGCCCCGCTCTCCACTTCCTTACACCTCAGGCCCACATGTTTGCCACCCTGCTTGGCAGGAAACCTGAAACTCTTTTTAAAAAGAGTTAGATAATAGCAAATTGTGGAAATGGAGTATGCATAAAAGAGAGTGACAGGATATTACCAACAATATCACAAGTTATGGACAAACTTTCAATCATTCAAGTGACTTCTTTATTTCTTTCCCTCCCTGAGGGTAGGAGGTGCTTCTCTAGAGCACTGCCAGGTTTTCTGAGATTTGGTAGATTATGGTAAGCCTGGGATCACAAATGAGATGTCCTAATGTTTAGTCTAGTAAAACACATGGGTCTCACCCATGGCTCAGTTGGTTGGGTGTCATCCCACAAAGAGAAAGGTTGCCAGTTCAATTCCTGGTCAGGGCACATGCCTGGGTTGCAGGTTTGGTCTCTGGTTGGGCACATACAAGAGATCATTGTTTCTCACATCGATGTTTCTCTCCCTCTCTCCCTTCCTTCCCCTCTCTCTAAAAATATATAAATAAAATCTTATATAAAAAAACCCCCATATACACATGGGCCTCAGGTGTAATTTTTACAGGTGAGTAGCAATAAAGCACAACTATCAGGTGCCTATAGTTGAGAATTTTGGTCAGAACCTCCCAGGCAATGCTGGGATCTGCTCTACCCTCACCTATGCCCTCCAGCTATTTCTGGCTCATTGGGATAGACAATCAAGGTAACACCTCTGTGAATTCCTCTTAATCTCATTATTTGTTTTAAGGGAGCCCTCGGGCTCATTGCTAACAGTCAATTTATTACTAAAATTGCCATTATTTCTGCAGATCTTGGGGATGGGAGGTAGGATGATTCACTGGGACATCCCTTTTCCTCCTCAAGAGGTTGTCCTGAGGGATGATCTATTTTTTCAAGCAACATAAATTCCCCATCCCCCGACCCCCATGAAGCCCTGAGTCTGATTTTTTAACCGTTCTCTCCACTGAGAATTATCGCCTCATTCAGATGATAATTAAAATTTCGTAGAATGTCTCTGGAGCTGCCACTCCACCAGATCTAAATTTAATCCCTCCTCACACTTCCCTCTCTCTTCTGAGGTTTGTATTTTGCAGGAAATTTCCCTGCTTTTTAAAGCCCTAAGATCCAGACCAATTTAATTTTTATGTGTAAAAATATTTCGCGACAAATATGGTTTGTGTTTTTTCAACACCACAGTCATAAGGAACACCTACTACATTCCCTTCACACACAGATTCCATACCTCTATCAAGCCTGCTGGCATAATTTGCACTTGCTACTCTGGCTGGCGATGGCTCAAATTTTAGCTATATTGTTAGCTGACTCATATTATACCATGCTCCAAACTTTCAATTTTTTATCTAGGAATACCCTGTTGTTACACAATAATAATTATTGTCTTAGTATTCTCATTTGAGAAATAATTGTGGCTCATGATGTCTCTGCAGAAAATGCCCCAAATGAATTTCTCTTTTTCAAAAGTTACCCATGGTTCTAGTGTTCCCCCAATACAATGCACATTCAATAAACATTCCTATAGAATGGTTTAGGTCTTTAAAAAGGGTGGTCCTCTCCTACTGACAATCAATAGAACAGGACATACAAATTATACTACCAAGAAGATGCATTCTTGTTTATCAGAGAACAGCATCAGAAGAGTGATGAGCATTATAATCTCCACATTGCCTTGCTAACTAACTTAGAACCAAGGGTATTATCATCAGTCCCCTGAGACTGAGCATGTTTACTTGTACTTTGCAGGTTTACTTGAATTACTACAGAACTACCCTACACCATTTTTAGTTTTGCAAGTGATCTAACACTCTTAGCCCCCAAACAAACAAGAATTTAAGCACCAACAATCTAGGATAAGAAATGCTCCCTCTGGAGACATACCAGCAGGCATTCAGCTGTGGCCTTGCACTTGACATGGAGTGGCCTTGGGTTATCCCAACCTCCTAGAGCTCCTGTGCTCCCAGTGACATGAGATAGAAGTGTCCACACTAAGTCCTTCACACACTTGTCACTCATAATTAGGGATACTATGAGTATTATTTGTCTTGCTATTCCAACTCTAAGTCTTTAGATTATTTAACTTCTATAGAGTGTTAGTGAATTGAAGCAAATTTCACCTCTCAAATGCTTAACAATAGACAACACCTCACAATAAACACCTTATTTGGCATCAACTGTTGTATGTGCTGGTTCATAATATTGTTAGGTAGGATAGATAGTAAACCAAGGCAGGGAGGAGAGAGATGTGTCTCACCCACTAGCTCAGCAGATGGAACACCCGACAATATTGCCAGGTGTTCCAGTATCATCAGAAACACAATGCTAACACAGGAGGAGGGAAGCCCTTGAAATTCTAAGTAGCGTTTCCACTATCCGGGAAAGAAAGCCTTGAAACTGGGCATTCATCCCAAGGCCTGGAAAATGGGGGGGTCTACAGCGCCCAAAGAAGAAGCCCATAAAACAATTTTGGTTAATTGCCTACCTCTGGTCACTATCTGTTTTACAAGAAAGAGCTTACAGAAAGAGCTCATAAATAACTTTGGGTAACTGCCCCAGCTTTAATTAATTGCCTCCTGTTACATGTCTATTTTACAAGATGAACAAATAGAGTCTGGAGCAAGATAAGGATTAGAGCTAACAGACCCCCACACATACCTAAGTTTGGGTAGTCACGTCCCCCTAGGAAAGCTGACACCACCTCTACCTGTCAATCAATATGCACTTCTTCACCCCCATCCCACCAACTATATAAGTGCTCAGAATGAAGAACTCGATGCTCTTGCCACCCCTGCCCTTGCCTCTCGCTGCCTTACCTTGCCATGCCCTGAACCTATGCCTTTCACCCCCACCTTGGCAAGGCCCACTCTCTTCCACTAGAACCATCACTGATAAACCCTGCTTGCACTCTAACAGACTTGCTGATCTGTAATTCTTTACTGCATTGGCAAGAAGCAGCCAGTTTCTCCCGTAACAATTATCACCACGCATCCCATAAGCTTTTCATATTACAAGGTGTACATTATGTGTGCTCAATCTTTGGCATGACAGGCCAATAAGCAGAGGGCACTCAAAGCTCTTGGCTAATGAGTGGCAAGTCACCCACTGGGCATTTCTTAGCTGGAGAACACTTGTGTTTTCTTTATGTTGGTCTCTATTTCTGTCATTGTTTTGAAGTCTAATTAATAGTTTTGTCCAATAACAGTTGAGCAAAGGCATGCAAGTGGTAACTGTGAGACACATAAAAGTGTCACAAAAAAGCATCATCCTAGAAGTTAGTATTTAGGTTCCATAGGGCTCGGGACACCCTTAAGGAAACAGGAAATAGGAGATATACAAGGAATTGGTAGAAATCCTTGGGTCATATGAAGGGCCTCGAAACACCACTGCACCCACAGGCCCACAGCATCATAAGAAGTGGCTGGATGGAAGTCTGGTTGGAGACGCACTGGGACTACAGGAATTTGAGCAGGTGGAGGAGATGCCAGGAAGGCCTCTTTATGGTCTGCACCCCAAAGCCACAGCACACTGGTGAATTAGCACTCCCATTTACAGGGTCCAGGAGCAAAGCATGTCTTTTCTGGGGTATCCTTTTCCCTACTTAGCCTTTTAATAGTATTTCTTGAGACGTACCTATAATTTTACTATGTAATACTGAGATTAAAACAATTAAGTAACAGCATGGAATAAAACAAATACTATAAATTTTGTACCAAACATCCTTGGTTTGCATTCTAAGTACCTGACCTTAATCGATCTGAACTTTAATTTGTCCGACCTTTAGTTTCCTCAACCATGACTGTGTCCAAGGGCAACTGTAGTTGAGAGGGGGTAAGATTTGTGAAAATAAACTGCAAATAAAGTGCCAGATGAATGGCACCTATTTTGGTGTTGGCATGCTACCATGATCCTGGAATTTCAGTCCTTAGGTTACAAAATCTTAGTTCTTTTTAAGATACATGTAAGATGCTTACTGAAAGCCTAACTCATAAGGAAATTTTATAAAAGAAACATAAGAACAATAAGACAACTCTTTTTGTAAAAAAAGATTTTAATTATTTTTAGAAAGAGGGGGAGGGAGAAAGAAAGAGAGGAAGAAAAACATCAATGTATGAGAGATGCTGCGTCTTGCATGCCCTGCAACCAGGGATCTGGTCCACATCCCAGGCATGTGCCCTGGCCGGGACTCAAACCGGTGACCTTTAGGTTCACAGGCTGGCTCTCAATCCTCTGAGCCATAACAGCTAGGGCAAGACAGCTCTCTTTAAAAAAGACATTTATGACTGTTTAGCACCAGAAATTATTCAACTTAAATAAACTAAGACAAGGAATAAAAAGAAAAATGTAAAAGTCTGTAGAAGGGTGAAATAAGGCTTTAAAAACCTTTCAAGATCAATTGATTAAAAATTGGTTTACGTTATAATGAAAGATAATAGCACCTTCCAGTAAGGAGAAATAAGAAACAATTAAATAAATAAATGGGTAAACAAATTTCACAGGATCTGTAGAAAGATCTTTGTGTTTCAATCCAACAGTTTTAAGAGATAAACAATACCGGAAAACAAAACAGGGAAAACAGAGGTGTTCTGTCAAACAGGAAATGAAGTGAACCTCTGTCCATAAGTTACCCTTCTTTTACACCAACAGCAATGTTTATTTTTATGGCTAGGTAAACCCTGTGACATATAGGTAGGGAACCATTCTGAAGTGTATTCCATGTCTTTTGCAATTCTCCCAGGGATCATGGGTTTGCCACATTCAAAACAATGTCTTAACAGGCCTCACATGCCTGCATATGTTGCCTCTCAATTAAGGTAAAGGGAGGTTCAAACAGGTCAATTTAAAAAACTTCACTGACTCAGTGGCAATCCTGACAGAAATTCAGAGGTAAACACCAAGTACAGATGATCAAATGTACACAGGCTTCTCTAATGCAACTTTCGTCTACAGGAAGGAGAAGGGAGCAGCAGCTAACAGTATTTCTACTGACAAAGCACACAGAAGAAGTCACATTTGAAAATATTTTCGAGAAATATTTTACCTAGAATGCACTCCAAAAACATAGAGGACACACCCACAATTGTCTTACCATGTGTGTGTTGGTAGTCATTATCTGAGAGTGGGAAGGAAAGCAAGTCGCAAAAAGAAAAAAAGCAAGATACGAATAAAACAAACCCTAGAAATTATGCAACCAGAGAGCTGATGTCTATTAGAAACTACCAATCTTACTCAATGCAAAGAAAAGATACTTAGGTATATGTGGAAAAATGCTAAAATGTGTTCAATACAAAATTAATTCCCATATTAAATAAGCCATGCCTGAATGCTCTAAATGAGCCACTAGATAAACAGCTAATGGTGAAATATAAGTTACGAAAATAAAGTCTAAACACCCTCAGGAAGGGTATTTCCTACAGCCAGCAGGGCTATGCAAAGCTATGCAGAGCAGGGCATTTGCTGATGTACTACATCCTTTATAGTGAATTGATAGCTAGGTAGGTACCCAAGTATCAGGAGACCCCACAGGCTGTGCTGAATGACTGCACTAAACAACGATCACACACAATTTGAGGGTTATTCCCAAGTAGCCAAGCCAACAAGACCCAGTTCCGTACTAACCTGTCCATTGCTGGTCACTGTTGTATTTTCAAACATGAAGTAAGCACCAAAGAAAAATACCAGAGCGTCGAATACTCCTAAGAATGTCCAGTAAATAAACACGCGCCAGCGGAGTAGGGCATTCTTGGCAATATCTCTGTAAATAAAATGGTGGGAGCAAAGTGACTGCATTCCATGGAAACCAGCCTCACTCAGGGACCTGGCCAGCTCCACTGTGCTCTGCAATGACCATCTTTGTCCAGTAGGGGTCTCTAAGTCACTGAAGAGTTCCCCCAGCGATAATATGACACAAAAATCCACAAAATTGTAGGACAGTATCACAACCAGGGTACTGATGTGGACACCATCCACCCATCTTATTCAGGTAAACCCAGTTTTATAGGCTCTATCTGTATTCTTTCTCACAACTACATGTGAATCTAAAATTTGCTGAAGTAAGTTTAATTTAAAAGGTCACGAAAAACCCAGTTAACATGTCAAATCTGCCAGAGTTCCTGGAGTACAGTGCTGAAACAGCAGACAAACATCTTATCCTTATTATCAAAAAGTACTTTTTAGCAGAAAAGAGCACAGCAAGACATGATCTGTTAACTTCCCCCCTCCCTCCCTGAATAGAACATACATGTTTTTTAAAGGCTAATTTAGGCCATAAATCCACTGGGGTCACAAGGGGACAGAAACTCTTTTCTCTGGTACTTTCATAATTACCAAAAAATATGGTAAAATACTAACTGGTTTAATATGTACATTTCAAATGCAACATAAATCCATCTAAATTTGAAGTATGATCGGTTAAATTGATTCTTGCTTAAAGACTCTGATAAACGCAAGTTATCAGCTGACACTGAATAATATTTCTGGCTTTTAAATAACTCACGGAGGCGTTTATTTGAAGGCATTGCTCTATGACTACCTTGTTATTCTCTGAGCTCTAAAGCAAGTGCGTTTCTGAGGCTCAGTACCTGTAGAGAGAAGGGTCCCTCTTGAGCGTGTCTATGCTCACGTGCTGCTCCATCAGGCTGTATAGGAGAATCGGAAGGGAAGTGAAACTGATGTTGTACAGTGTCAGGTAGGCCGTGTCGTACAGAGTCTGCAGGAAGGAACACAAATCAACTGAAAATGATACCTGTGCAACTTGATAAAACGTCTTTGATGTTTTGTTAAATATGTATCTTTTAATTCACAAAGACCTATTAGCATGAGCATTTTGAAATACATATAGAGTCTTTCTTTCTACAAATTGAGAAGGACCAGGACTATTTTCAAAACTTCATGATGTCAACTAGTCAGGATTAAAATCATGGCTGAGAGAAGGCCCGATTGTGACCCACCCATTTGGACACTGCAATCTTGCAACAAGACAACTGCATAAAAGTTTGCAATTTGAATTGCCATCTTCAAGCTTCAATTCTGCCCAGTCCCAGACCCTTCAGATGAATGCAGCTGGTCCACACTTCATCTGAGCAGGACAGAAAAACAAGTGACTGACAGAAAGGGGATGCCCTGAGGGGTCCCCTCCTCTGCCAAGTGGCCTGCACTCCTCCACTCGGCTCGTGCAGGTGTCAGAAGCCAATGGTGAGACATCCAGGAGAGGATCTTAGATTTAGATGCCGTGCTTTCAGTTAGGGTCAGAAAGCCCAACACAGCTCGCTGGGGCCTGGGGTAGGCAAGTTCTGGGCATATCACTCACTAGGGTGCACGGGAGAGCCTGCCGTCAGCAGACACGGGCCCCTCCACGCCACCCCTTCACCCAGCCTCCTGGCTGGAGGCACTGCTGAGGGCAGCAAGACTGGGGGCACCCGCGCCCCCCTCACCACCCTGGCCTGCCTGCCTCTGCAGTCTATTCTCCCCTCAACGCAGCCATCCACATGTGGGAGGGAGATAAGGCTCCAGGGAGCTTCCGACTTGAGACATTAGGACTCACCTGTTGTGAAAACCCACAGAAGAACTGGTATAAAAACTGAGGGAAAATGAAGCAGACATTCTGAAAAACAAATCACATGCCTGTTAGTTCAATGGCATAGTGTAAGAGGCACCTAACTTCTGAAGAAGTTGTCCATGTGACACCCCTTTATTTGGGGAAAGCGACCCAGAAGCGTTCTATGTTTTCAGAAGAGGAGGCAATAGGTCTTAAATTTTTCTCTTTTTTAAATAGCCCCTGCAATGCATATGTGACCATGTTCTGGTCACTCTGAGAGGACATAACATAAAGGGAAATTTGTTAAAGAGAAATGAGGAGGCAATGTAGGTATGAATATAAACAGAAAAGAATCAAACTAAATAATGAAAGAAAAGTTATTTCAAGGGAATTTTTTAAAAATGCCACTTTCTTATTCATTTTATAACTGGTACCTTCTTGCTGGTTTCACATTAAGTTGTATGAATGTGAGGAAAGGGCTAGGATCAACCCCTTTCTTGCTGACAGTTACTTCTTGTAGCATCAAGGCATCTGTCAGATGTGTCATTCCATCATGGACAATATATGTCACTGAAACAGTAACAGGAGCAAGGAAATCCCTCCTACCTTATAAAAGAAGTATTGCACAAGCTCAGATATCCTAATGTAGTAAAAATGCCCATGAACGAGCAGCATCTTCTTTAAATGCTTGAATTTCGGTATTGCATAGTCACTGTTCCTTGCAGCCTGACGACCTTCCTTTCCAATGACACCTATAAGAAGGGAATAAATGTGCTGAATACAGTCTCTTGACTCCATGTAAATGAAAATGGGAATAAGCAAAATAAGGTTAGATTCAACTATTACTGTGACATTTCCTAGTTATGAATGTACTAAACCACAGACGCTGCTCTAAATGTGCCATCTAAAGCCTATGGTCTTGCCCTTTGGCTGTACCCCTGGGATGTCCAGCTGAAGTGATAAATCTCAGTTACCAAGATGTGCAGTAATCAAAAAAGAAGAGGCTTACCTATGCCCACGTGGGCCTCCAGGATCATGCTGACGTCATTTGCGCCATCACCGATTGCTAATGTAATAGGGTGCTCTTTTGAAAATTTGATTAATTTAACAATCTGGAAAAGAAATAAATATAGAATTGATCTTTGTTTTATTTTTGTCTCAGGTTACTCATTAACTAGGCATAAATAAGAAATATATAAAGTTAGGCAAGAAAAATGAAAAGATATTGCTTAAAGTAAATGTACTACGTTCAATCTACTTTATCCATATGTGATAAAATTTATCTCACATCAAAGGCAAAACAAAATAAAGAAGTAGCTAAGGTATGATTACAGTGAGATAAGTTGGAAAGGGCTGGAAAGCAAACTCTGAAGCCAGAGACATAAAATGTGGGAAGTAGTTTTCAGTTACTGCTATACTCACATATTGAAATACATAGGGGAAAATCTGAACATTGTATTCTATTAGAAAATATTGTTATTCCAAACTATTTGATATCAAGCATCTATTTTTTAAAATAAGCTATTCTTAATGCTATTTAATTTTCAAATTTGTCATGTGTATAAAATCAAATCTGACAATATAATGAAATTAATAATTTCCAAATATTTTAGTCAATTTCTTTATAAAATATGTTTTTTCCACTTATGTGCCTAAATGATGATTTGAGATATAAGACTAAAAAGATGAGGGAAAAAATGTGTGGATTGCTTCCTCGTTTCAAGATGAGAAACCGAAATACAAAATTTTTAGAAAAATTTGCCCTAATTTTCTGCATCTTAGGTACTTCATTTGTAAATTAGCATAACATCACTCATCTGACATGGTTTTTCTGAAGGTTTAATGGGCTCATATCTATATCTGTAACTGGCTCAATAATGCTAGTGCCCCACCTTTCATCTTTAGTATACGTTTCTATAAATGCTTCTACCTTTGGGAATATGGTTTTATTTTACAAGAGAAGTCAGAGGCATCTCTCCTGGTCTTCACATGGAAAAGGGTCATTCATCTGATTCAGTTAACTCTTTTTAAGCATGACAAGCAAAACATGTGTTTTAAATTTCTATCCTATTTGCTTCTATGTAAAAAAAGGTGGTACTTTGCTAGATTTCAAAACACAAAATACCCAGAGGTTGTAAGAATGAATGAATGGTCTTCAGTATTTAAATACCCATCAATCATGAGCTAATTATAGGAGACAGGAGCGCGGACCTGGGCCTTCTGCAGAGGGGCCATCCGGCAGCACAGCACAGCACTGCAGTTCCGGCAGATCTCAAGGAACAGTTCTCTGTAGTTGCTGGAGCTTCCGTCTTCTCGAGGCTTCATTATTAAAGACAGTGCGGCTCCATCAATAATTAAACCATAGTCTTGCATATCCGTTGAAAGTCTGTTAGATACACAAATCAGAGAGATCACTCATAACTAAATTTATAGATTCTAGAAGACTATATAATATCTTTTAATATCTAGAGGTGCTACAGATCCATGATCATGGGATTATGAAACTAGCACAGTAAGTTCTCATTTGATGTTGTCATTAGGTTCTGTGACTAAGCAAAGTGATGTACGAGGAAACCAATTCTACCACAGGCTGATACACACAAAAGTTAAGTTTCTATGGCATCTCATCAACGTTTATACAAAACAACATTGAATGAAATGATGTTATTTGAGGACCTGCTGTACAGTAATCAGTAATCCCCACTCACCCTTGGGGAATATGTTCTAAGAACCTCCAGTGGGTGCCTGAAAAGGCAGGCAGTACTGAACCCTGTTTATACTTAGCTATAATAGTTATAAATTGGGCACAGTTAGAGATTAACAACAACAATAATAAAATAGGACAATTACAATGATATATTGTAAAAAAGGTTATGCAAATATGGTCAGTCTTGTGGATACAATGGACAAAGGGATGATTCACTTTCCAGGTGGATGGAGCAGGATGGCTCAAGATTTCATCACGCTACCCAGAATGGTGCACGATTAAAACTTATGAATTATTTGTGGAAATTTCCATTTAATATTTCCTGACCATGGCTGACTACAGGTAACGGAAACTGTGGAAAGCAAAAGTGTGGCTAGAGGGGGGACTACTGTGTTTCTTGTTTTATCAATACCGTCTTTAGAGTACTGAATGCAATGCCTTTGACTAAATTTTAAATTTCACTTAGGCAAGGCGAACACAGAGTTCCAATTGTGGATTCCTGGGCAGTCCCAGTACTTTTCAACAGCAGGAGAACCTTTATCTCACAGTCTAAAGAGGTCAGTCTTTACTCCCAAACTTCCTAGCCACACTGGCCAACCTCAGTCTTTATCTTTACAGCTAATATCTCCTTGGTATTCTGCCTGAATGGCCTTTGCTGGCTTTCAAAATTGTTAGGAACATCTCTAATCCCCAAAAGGAATTCTGGAGATCAAGTGAAGGGAAATATCTTTGTACTACTTATGAACAACTTAAAATTTGCATATGAGTAAAGAGATACTTTTGCTTTACCTATATTAATGACAATCTAAAAGGATTCAAATAAAATCTATTCTTAGATCACACATCTAACATCAGCAAGGACAACACTGATAAAATGTATCAGAATAAATTCTGAATATTCTTGGAAAAAAAACCTCTGGAGCACGTACTGTTTTTTCTTAGATAGGCAACCGTGCGTTATTAGTATTTCCTTACCTGGTCTGGCGGACACACCCAGGAACCCCAAATATGACCCCCTGAGTGTCTTAGAAACAGATGAGAATTATCCCATTCACAACATTTTGTAACTCAAACAATCAAGTCTTTTTTCATCCTTTACCAGCAGTTTGAAAGTGAACGAACACATACACCCTCTTGTGTAAAAGGACATGTTACAGTTGCTAAAAAGAAATACCTCCGGTCACGTTTCAGGTGATCCCTCTCACCAGCTGATGCTGTTACTGACGGGGGAGGGCAGACCCACATTCCCAGCATGGGTGCTGAGGCTCTATCCTTGCACATGGAGGTCATTTCAGTCTTTCTGAAAACATCTCTTGCGGTTGGGAAGAGGCTTGCCACCTACCCTGAGAGGTTGTCCCTGGTTAAGCTGCCGCTGTAGCGTAGGACAGTTTTACTCAGCTCAAACAGGACATCATGTAAACTCTGCTCCTCAATTTTCTTGGTAGTTAGCTCAAGCAGCTGTGTGTTTCTCCTGAAAAGTTTGCAGGCATAACAGGTGGCCGCCGCCGTCTCCATCTTGTCTCCGGTGAGAACCCAGACTTTGATCCCCGCCTTTTGCAGAGCTTCTATGGTGTCAGCTGCTTTCTCCTGGAGCCTAAGGATGCAAAAATGAAACACAAGAAACCCCAGAGCTGACGAAGGCAAATCAAAACAAACAATTTCAGGAACTTGTGATCCATTAAAATATGTAGGCCCTCAAAGTTAAAATGGACAATATCGCTGGTTCATGATCTTACGGTAAAGTGCCTGAAGTGGTTTTTTAAAATACATACATTTTTACCAAAAACTACTTTCTAATAAAATAGATAAACATGGATAAAATATGAAGAAATAAATGGCCACCTTGCACAGCTGCTATATGCCAGCAGGGATGGCAGTTTTCTGTCCAGCTGGGACCCACTACCTGGAGAGGATTTTAGGCAACTATAAGGAGGACCACATATCTAACAACAACAACAACAACAACAACAACAACAACAACAAAGTAAATTGGGGAAAATGAGATCTGGAAAAGAGATGATGAGTAATATTCATTATCTTTTCTTTTGGCATAAACTGTTTAACTTTTGCCACTTTCAAACTGGAGCCCAGGTTCTCCTAAATCACATCAAATGGTGGTAATGCTAGCAGTGATGCTGTGACTGGCTAACAGGCATTGCAAGCTTCGCGTGTCAGCTGCTGTGTGAAGCATTTTTTGCGGGACATTTCACTTTTACAACCCACTTAATGGGTGAGGGCTTTAGTACCAACCCACTTTATGTGTGGAAAACCCAAAGCTTGCAGAGATACCAAACACATCTGAGGATAAACAGCTCTCTTTACAGTGGTCCGACTGTCTCGCTGTCTCTGGAAGTCTGTCATCAAAACCATGCTTGCGTCTTTCTGTGGTGGGGGAGGGGGGGCTGTCAATTTTTCTAGATTTTAGAGTCTTAGGTTTTGATAGGCACGTGGAGTAATGAATGTAGTGTGTCTCTGCCAAGCACTGAATAAAAGACATGGATTCAGATTCTAAATGTAATGAATTGGTTAGCTTCTGAAATCAACATTCTAGGTGGTAAGTCTGGAGAGCACACAATATAGCATTCTACATATAGAAAAAATATCTAATTTCATCATTATTTTGGACAAAGGAAGTTGAGGCTGAGAGTGGTCTGCAAAGACGCTGGCTTGAAATTTTAAAGATGTAAACAAATATCAGCACTTCAAGGTCACCGGTCCCCATATGTCTGCCCCCCACCCCACACCAGTATCTACTCTTGAGTATTTTGATGTCCCATCTCCCCAATGAGTTAATCTGCTCCCACAACCTTCTTGAGGGGCCCCCCTGCACATTGGCTCTGCCTACTTCATTCCTTCCATTCAGAAGAGCCACTTATTTTCCCACCACTTCCTTGGTGGACCAGGCCCAGTGCTTCCTTAGGCAAACACCACCCTAGTGAGTATCTCCCTCCTAACTCACAGCCCCGTCCTATGGCTGTGGCTCCATGTTCTAAACCTATCCTGTACATGTTAGGCTTCTCATGTTTACACCTGTGTCTGTACCTCTTATACTCTGGACTGAATGAGGACACGAACAACAACAACAACAAAACCAAACAAACCAAAACTTCCTAAATTGTCCAATCTTTTGTTAGTGAGATTGAGAATGCAGTAAATGCTTGTTGAAGACACTAGAAAAAATGCAGGTTTTAAGCTAAGGACTTAAATTTTGGACCAATATATAGATCTTAAAGACTTTCAAATTTTATGGGAAATAAAGTCTCAGTAAATTTCCTGAAGCTTCTGTTTCATTCTTTTAAATTGGGATTTCTTTTTTCCTTTCCCATTCCCTCAAAATAAATTGTAATCCATTCCTTCCATTTTGCTCTTAAGACAACACTGTAGACCGATGACCATTTCTTAGGGCATTAAGCCTTAAATAACTCTTAGTTCTTCTTAGAGACTTTAACAGATTAGAGCCTCTTTCTCTGGAGGCATTTGAAAGCCTGTAATCAGTAATTTTATCAGTTATTATTATTATTATATTGTTATTTACAATATTCCACTTGAGTATTTTAAATTTCTTTAATGAATAGTGACCAATACATTGAGTAAGTTTAAGACCTAGACTGTTACATCTGTATTTGAAAAGAACTAGGAACAAATTTAGGAGGAGAATTAGTTATTGATTCCATTCTAAAGAATAACTTAAAAAAAAAAACCCCTATCTTGAATACATGTAATGGAAAAATGCGGACCATTTCTGGTTTCTTCTGGGAAAGTGTGAATTCTGGCGTCTTATTCATGGAAAGTAAAACATCATCCTGTCGTGAGTTCCCTGTGACAGTACACCAGGGTGCGCAGTCAGACAGCCTGTCTCTTCCTGACGTGTAAGCATGTCCCCATTTGCTATAGCTGGCACACTTCCTCCCGAAGCACCCCCGTGCACCCATGCTGTCACACAACAACACGCTTGGCTTCTGGAGAAAAGGCAGTGTTTACTTTACCGATCCTCAACGGCAGTAGCACCAAGCAGGATAAGATCTTTCTCTATCTGCTCATAGGCTTCTGCTAATTTCTTTTCTCGATCTTGAAGTGCCACCTTGGCAGCCTGTAGCAATTTACAAATGCCTTCATATTCTTCTGGGATGAGCTTTTTGTAGGCAACACACAAAGTCCGAAGCCCCTCCTATGGGACATAATGCATTTCACATGAATTCAAGGGTCACTGTGCTGAGATACTATTTTTCAATAGCTTTCTCAGTATTTCCTTTCTTTAATTAGAATGACTAACCAAAGAATTATAAACCAATCAATCCTAAAAGAGGTTGATCTTTTACAACTGAGTTATTCATATCCATATTAAATAGAATCATGATAGATTTTATAAAAATTTAAAATAGTAGGGATGGGAATAAATAGTAAAATCAGGGCCATCCAAAGATAAGACTTTGTTCTTTTATTTTGACAAATGAAGAGTTAAACTTCTCTTTATAAGAGTAATTTGCAATTTTATGGTGAATATAAAATGATATTTCTTAAGTCACATGTTTTACATAGGAGTCTGCAATGCAATTTGATCTTATTTAGCACTCACGGAAGGAAATGGCTAAGTTATTTATCAAACCTATTGGGTCCACAGGAGAGTGAAACAAGAACCTAAGAATAACAGACTCTCTGCTGACCATAATTCTGAATGTCACCACACTCAGAGAATGCACGACCCCAGCCAGGGAGGCACAAGTAGGTTGGACTCTCAGAGCCTGAAGGGGCCATACCCAGAGCACTTTGATCGTCAATGTGTTAGTCTGGAGTTTTAATAACAGGAGGTGCCTGTTCCTTCCTCAATGTCTAGCAGGATGGTTACGGGGAGATGATTTTTTGCTCTCTCAAAGGGGATGTTATCAGATTTCCAGGAGCTGAGAGAAAGCTCATGGCATAATCTGAAAGAAATGAGCACCTTTCCCTTATGAATTATGGGTAGACAGAATGTCTGCAGCAAACTTTAATGTCAGGAAGCAAAGTTATTAAAAAGAATTGAAAGGAGAGTTTAAAACTAGTTATAAGGGAAAGGGACCACATGATTAAGGGACATGTCATAGATTGGAAGTCCTGTACCCATTTCTGCAGAAGCTCCTAGGTTGGGAGACATAATGCCACAATCATATATTAACATTGAGCTTTAGAGTCTGGGTTTTTCTGAGGCCCAAGCAGCCAGTATTTAGATAGAACACACCGAACCCCAGTGTTGGTGCCATGAACTTCCTTTCTTTCAGATACAACTTTCCTCTGAAGGAGTGGGAGGGATGCCCAGGAGAATCGGGAGGCAGAGAACAGCTCCCTAGTCCTGGGCAGAGATCCCAGGGTTCAACAGTGAACATCCTTTGGCCAGAGCCCATCCTTTTGACTTGTGTGGTGATCAGTGTGGCCAGTGTCACAAAGCCATGTGGCCCCAGTGGAAAAAGGCCTCAGTGTTATTTCAGGTGTGGTTTGAAGTGACTTGCAGATGGTGCTGCCCCACCAGGGCTAACCTCACACAGCCCTGTATTAAAAGTCACTGCCCGACCATGGACTACATTCTGCATGTGCACACATAAGGGCTTCCGAGAAGCCCTCCATCTCCTACCCCAGCAGCCTCCTCACTTCTGTGGAGAGCAGAAATTAGTGACAATGTTATTTTTGTGATCCTGCACACAAAAGGTTCAATAACCTTAAACCTGCAGTTTATTGATTCCTGCTGGTTCAATAGCAGCTGCTTTGTTTCACCAGTAGGTAATACTAGGTACTTTAATAAGACCTTAAAGCCAAAGGATTTGCACATGACGGCAACATTTAACAAAATTTAAAATTGCAGTAGCTGCTGCAGACATGCATGGGCTCAGGATAAAAAGGGTGCCTCTTGGACAACGGAAATTTATAATGCTGTAATATCTAGAGTAGAGCTAGGGGAATGTGTCTATGGAGAGCCGCACATCACTGGCTTAGGGTCTGATGTGGAGGGGAGGAGGGTGGCAGATGCCCAGGTTGTCCCACACCCTCAGGAGACCTGGAAGAGAGGGAATTGGAGCCATGGGCAGGGCGGGCGGCAAGTCTAAAGCTTAGATTTGCCGACAAACTGAACAGTGTTGCTGAAGTTACAGAAAAGACTGAGCTATGTGCTTTAGAATGAGGTGTGGGAAGAAGACCCAACAGGTGAAGACACACTGAACACATAAGTGCCAATTGATTTTTGAAAGGAATCACTACAAATAATTCAGGCTAAAGACCCACTCTCCAATACAATCACCACAAATGTGCTTATAATTTGGACCCCCCAAATCATCGATCAACTAACCTAGCCCCCACCTCAAAATTAGAAAAACAAACATGTAACAGTCTGCTGAGTACGTGTGCTGGGGGGCAGCGCCCAGGTCAGGAACACCACGCAGGGAGTTTTGCATGCTGTGTGCATATGGCCCATTCTGACTTGTGAGTGTATCTCTTGGGGAACAGGACGTGGTGCTCTCTCTCAGTCAGGAGTTTTTCCTTCCTGACGCGGGAGAACCGGTGTGACGCTGGCCCGCTCAGCCCACCATCTCACCACAGCGTTGCGTTCCACTCTGGATCGGACCTGATCAACTTTGCCTTCTATTACTCGGGGAAATATTGAAGAATCTGCTCCTTTGCAAAACAGATAAATTTCTCCTATAAAATGAGGGGGAAAAAACAGGTGTTTAATTTAATCACAACTTGGGGAAGACTAAATTATTTTTCATATTATGGTATTTAGAAACAAAACAGGGATACCAGTGCTGAGACTGCTATATAGAAGATTTCAACAAATCAGTTAACATGTAAATTCAGGAAAACAGATTACCCCAAAGTCTCATTTTATCCCTAACAACCCCTAGAAATCTCATAGGAAAGCCACAAACCAAGAAAAATCCTAGCTCCCGGGTGTCCTTCCTCGTGTTACTTCTGGCCCTTCTCTGGTTAGGATATGAGTGAGGAATACAGTGGCCTTGGCACCAGGAGGTGGAGTAAGGAAACTGAGGGTGTGGCTGACCCAAAAGTGCCCATAACAATTTGCTGAAACACCAGGAGATGAACATCAAATCCCATTAAAATGCAATGCATTGATGTAGAACACAACATCTGAGTCATCTTTTCCATTAACAAGAGTTACAAGAAATGTCTGTTTTATAGTTTTTGTAATAATTGTGTACTTCAAGTAATGTTCCAGTTACTTTGCACATATTTGTACTGTAGATGCATGCTTCTCCTCCCTCAAGATAAAAAGATTTGCTCTTCCAGATAAGTAGGAGGAAACTCTGTATTATGTGACAAAAAGGAGAGTACAGAGACAGAAGGCAGGAGCACTAAAAAAACAGGCCCCTGGCGTGTGGAGGCTCCTCCTTTTTCCGTGAGGGGCCTTCTGGTCTGCAGAGCCCTGTGACACTTTACCACGTGGGTTTTGTCCGTATTCGGCTTCCGGAAGGAAGTGCTGTGGTGGCCCATCACAGTGACTGCCGGGCCTTGAGCAGGGGCACTGCCATGGTAATCTGTGTTTGTATTCTTCATTTATCTTCAGGCATTAAGCTCAAGTGCTGAGCTCCCTGGCCCAGGGTTGATCCCTAAAAACCTTAGACGCAGACGACCCTCAGAAGTATACCAGAGAAACCAAATCCAGAGGCACCAGGAAAAGTAGACAACTGTCCTACTGCAGCCGCCTCCCCAGGTTGAGGGGATGGGGAGCAGGTCAGGAGGGGCTGTGTGAAGGGGCACATTCCTGGGCCAGTGGCTAGAGAGACCATACCAGTTGGTACACATGGGGAACCTGCACAAGGGCCCATGAACTCAGCTGTAGCATGCACAGCCCACCCTGGCTTATTTCCTTGATCCCAGAAAGAACTAACTCCTGTGATACACACACACAGTGAAAACATTAAAAACACAGCACAATTTATGTTCCCACAAGTCTTGAAATTACACCGGGGGTAATATCAACCTTCAGCCAAAATGGATGGCATCTGGTGACGTCTATACTGCCAGCACATGAACTGAGCTGAGGCTGAGCAAAGGCTGGGACAGAACTGGGAGCACAGCTAGCCACACTGAGCAGGAACCTACCAGAGCAGGAGGTCTGACCCCCAGAAGACACCTATACAACACACAGGTCTGTGACCTGGGATTCTCAGACACATACCAACCAGCCTGATGTCAGAACCCATTCCCAACCACCAGATAATTTCTAGCCAATGTTCCTGTGCCATCAGATACAGTTTAGAAACAAGAATTGTAGTCTAGACAACATGCTACAACCTTAAATAATAATACATTTTTTTTCCTCAGAAAATCATGGATGACTGATGGTAATGACTTGCAAAAGGCTTAAATTCACCACAGTCTCAACTTGTCAATTCCTCTACACCCACTTTAGACATGGTACAAGTTTGGCTTTCAGATTTGGGTGAGGACAGCCTTGGACATAAAAATATTCACTATAAAGCAAAATTTAATTTGCAAAGGACAAAAGCAGACACTATTTGGCATCAGCTTTAGATCCTGCTTTTTTCCAGTTTTGTAAACAAGCAAGGAGTTATTAACCCAGTGTACACACAGGTGATGGTAAGAAAGCAGTACGCAGAGTATGTGATCTTAACCTGCAGCAGCACACACAAGTGACAGGATCTTAATCTGCAGCACACACAGGTGATGTGATCTTAACCTGCAGCAGCACACACAGGTGACATGATCCTAACCTACAGCAGAGCATGCTGTGGGACCGAGGTTCAGCTCGTTGACTGCAGCAAACTTCTCAGTGAAGAGCCCTCGGAGATAAGTTTAAGTTGTCAACTGGCTGCTATGGCTTATGGTCTCCAGTCTCCCCAAATGGCGTCAACCCTCCATTAGGCTATAAAACCTGTGCAATTAGTGTCATCTCCAGGGATGTGTTACTACTTAGAGGACAACTTGTTGAATTAAATATTCAGACTTCTCTTAAAATTAATTGATGCACTGGCCAGTTTAGATGGCATGATAGCCTTCCCTGGTAATCCTGCATTTCCTCAAAGATGCCATCAGAAATATGTAGTATCTCGGGGAAGGGATATTCTAATGACGTGAATGCCTTGGGCATAAATTCTTAATGTGTCGCAGCTCCCTTCTGAGCTCTTGTGATGCCCTTTTCGATAAATAGAGGTTGTTTATGAAGCTTCCCCGGTACACCCCCAGGGTACCAGCACTGTGGCCGTGCAGTTCAGAGGAATGCATGGGTGGGGCAGCAGATGGTCTGTGGGTAACTTATGCACTGCTTCCTGAGATTGTGATCACTACTGCGGGTGCAGGGACTTTGCTGAAGCATGATTCAGCTCCTAGACTTCACATTCGTAAGGGAGGAAAATCACAAGACAAAACGTTTTTCACAAGCCATTGCCTTTCTTCTGGATAATTCTGAATGGCTTACACTCTCAGGAGAGGGCTTCATTCATGCCTCAGTGGAAAGATTTTCTGCACTTGGGCACACATTAGCACATCTAGCTGAACTTGTTTCAAACATCATGGGGTACATGCTCCCCATGTCCTGAGGACCCCAGTGGTAAATCTCTGTTTCCACGTGCATGGGCAATATTATATTATACATTATCTTATGTCCCATGACACTTACGGCAGGTCTCTTTGGTGGAGCCCACTAGTATCCACATTTGGTAACTGGTTCAGGAGAGGGAAGCCTGGGGCTAAGAGACCAGCTCTGTGACAGCCAGCACCGCCCCCCGTGCAGAGCTGCCACCAGGCTTGTTGTCCAGCACGTGGAACTCAGATCCTTGAAAAATGACTTACGGGGCGCTGCTGAAAGGTATGCCTTCAGCGGCCTCTGCAGCCTTAGGTGAGAAAATGGGGTATCGATGGTTCTACCAGAAGGAAGTCAGAATGGGTCTGTTTGAGAAAGGGTACATTGTTTATTTACTTCCCGCTGAAATGAAATTCTCTCAATGTGAGTGTGAGATAACGGGCTGACATAAAATTCCCTCATAACATGCCCTCAGATCACTATTTTAGGCTCAGTCTGTTTAGTTCCACAGTAGTGGCTGCATTTGGTTGCTCCACGGGCAACTTTCCCAAGAGATAAACACAGCCTGCTATTGCCTAGTTTTAAGAAACCAAAAAAAAATAATATCTCACATTTCTCGATAAAAAGGCCATTTTGAAATTGCATTAGTAAATTGAATTTAGCAGTATTTACTGGGCAGTCAGTAGAAGTGCTATGGTGGGTATATTGCTGAGAAAAGTATTGGTTCTGTATTTAGGATGCTTGCAATCTAGCCAGGTCAGAAGACAAACAGGTCATCTAACAGGGCAACCAGGACAGGCATCCTTATCAGGTGGCTGTAGAGCTATCCTTGGAAAGGTACAAATCTCTGCCAGGTAGAGAGCTTCCAGGTGGAGAAGCTCACAGCAGGCAGAGGGCCTGCAGGTGCAGAAACCCATGCAGTACACATTCTGGGGTGGCCTGACCCCAGAAAGCTAGGAAGACAGTTCAGGGTCTCAATGAAAAAACCCTGGGGAGGTGTGGCTGCCTGATATAGAACAGGAGCCCACCAGGCCCTGGCCAGGACAGTGAGTGTGGAGGGTCTTAAAAGGACTGACACGGGAGCAGGATGATAGAAGGGCAGAGAGTGCAGATGGAGACCTTTGAAAGCAGGTAGTGTGTGAGGACTGAAAGGGCATGAGGAACACTGGAGATACACTTTGCAGGGCTTGCTGTAGAGGGGAAGCCAAAGGTGACTGAACCTTCAGCCTAAGGTGCCCAGGAGAGAAACAGGAACATGAGGAGCCAAGGAGTTTTGTCACCCAAAGTTAGTGTGAGGAGCTGTGGGACCCGCCGCGGGGCTGAGGACCTGTGGGAGCCGCCGAGGGGCTGAGGCACTGTGGGACCCGCCGCGGGGCTGAGGACCTGTGGGACCCGCCGCGGGGCTGAGGACCTGTGGGAGCCGCCGAGGGGCTGAGGCGCTGTGGGACCCGCCGCGGGGCTGAGGACCTGTGGGACCCGCCGCGGGGCTGAGGCGCTGTGGGAGCGGCCATATGGGTGAGGAGCTGTGGGACCCGCCGGGGGGCTGAGGACCTGTGGGACCCGCCGTGGGGCTGAGGACCTGTGGGACCTGTAGTTGGTTCATCTGTTTTTTAAAAAGAGAATGAATGGTTTAATCTTTAAAGCTCCTAAAGAATGTAAGTATCAGAATAAAATACAACCACAATGTATAAATTAAGAAATTAAAGAAAAATAAATTTCTACCTGTAGCAGATTTCACAATTACACTCATTCTCCTTCTTACTGAGTCAAAACTCAAAATTTCCAGCAATTCAAACCTGGAAAAAAGATTAAAAATTGTTTTTAATACCCATCTAGCTGTGTGCCATGACATCTGGGTAGTAGTCAGCCTTTCCACGGAGGACTGCCTGGGGTAGTCCTCTCCCCACCTGGCCCGGACCTTTAGAAAACATCGCCTCCATCCTACCCCACCCCCACCTCTCCCTGGAGGGCCTCCATGCTGAGAGCTCATTTGAGGAGGAATCTGGAGGAAGAGCGGTTCCCTTCACATACACAACGGAAATGTCTGTGTTCATGTGACTGGTGGTTCTGCTCCTGCGGCTGCCACCAGTGCCCTGCAGAGGACAGAGGGAGGCTGAGGCCAGGCTCTCCTCTCGCTGCCACCAGCACCCTGGCCTGGGTAGCCATCTCCCACCCCCAGCCCACTGCCCATTGAGTTTGTGCATCAAACAAACTATGTGTCTTATGTGCTGATTCACTTTCCTAAATTCTGTTGAACACAAACCCACGGGTTTTATCAGAGTTTTTGATGCCAGATACATCAGTGTCCTTCAAATTAATAAAAATCACTTAAAAAGCAAAGAGTGTTGACATTTAATCAGTTTGTGCTGTCTTACTATCAGAAGACTCATGATTTCTGCCTGGCGTTTGAAATGTTGAAAATAGTTCAGCCACCCGTGGCACCACCTCTGCAAACTCCTTAGGGCCTAGAGACTCCAGCCAGCAGCTTGGGAGTGAGTGTGGAACTTCTGTGATGTCAGTCCCTGCTCACAAGCTGGTGAAGGGCGTTCAGAAGAGGGCTCCCCACGAGGTGCCACTGTGGCAGCGGGTTATTTTGCGCTGAAGACAATAGAGACACTTCAGGCTCATGAGAGACTCACTTCTCCCTTACGGAATCTAAAGAATCTAAGTTAGGGGCCTTGCCCAGAACAAGAGTTATCACCAGAGATAACCTTTTATGATCTACCTATATGGCAAGGTACACATCCAAGGAACATGTGCTCTTCTCACCGTCCTGTGAATGCCCTCCCCTCTGAAGCCTAGGGCTCCAGAATGCCACATACACCTCATTAGTTCAGAATGTCCAGTATACTGCATTTTCCCTCTTTGTCTCTAGGGCATGGCCAGGGGGAGGGTGGGGAGGTGCATCAAGAGAATCTCACTCTCGGTTCCCAGACATATGCATGTAATTAAATTTGGTTATTTTCTTTGTTAACCTGTCTCACGTCTATTTGATTATTAGACCAGCTGAGAGAACAAAGAAGGGCAAAGGAAAGTTTCTTCTTCCCTCACTCTGGTAAAAGGGTTTCCTGTGAATTTCAAAGCAGCACTATGCTCTGTGTTATAATTTCAGTTGCAACCTCCTTTTCAGTTACAAATCAGAAGCCTGACAGCACGATGTCACTCTGCCCCTGCCCCCAGGGGTGACCTCACTACTCCTAGGAAACCCCCACACTGCAGAGAGTAACCCCACCTATGCCAATCTAGCACCCAGCAGCCAGGTCCATACCTCAGTCGAGGGGTTCACCACTTCCACTAACCTTATTTTTAATAAGGTTAAAATTATTATTATTATTATTATTATTTTTAATAAGGTTAAAATTATTATTATTATTATTATTATTTTTAATAAGGTTAGTTTATTTTTCTGGGGAGTTTATTTTTCAGAAGGAAGATTTAAAATCCAGTTTTCTTCAAGTTGTCACCACTAAATCTTATGTTTTTCACCACCTGTCTTTGCCTATATCCTGCATATTTATGTTTATTTATATAGGTGAGATGGACTACCTGATCTTCTAAGTCAAAATTCAAGATAGACCATCTGTCTCTGGGACAAGCAATTTTAGAAAGATGGTTCCTTTGGTTCGCAGGCCGGCACTGAGTCCACTGAGTCATGCCAGCCAGGGCTGAGAGATGGTGCCTAAAAATCAAAAGCGTGTAGGCACTAAGATTTGGAAAGTGAAACCATCCAATGTCCAGCTGGTTATTCCAAAGCATACTTTTCTCTGACTGTCTTCTACGGGACACTGCTCCACGGCCTGGGAGCTAGTGCTCAGTGAACACCGGATTCCATGGCCATCCCTGGGGAGGGCGCGTACTTCCCCAAGCCCATGGAGAGTCACAGCGTGGCTGGGGGAGAGTTAGGACACACTGGAAGCGTTGAGAACCCTTGCAGTAAAACCTGAGTTTAGGTGACTTAACCCAAAACCTTTTTAATGATGTAACATCATCCAACCAGCCTCTCCTCTAACTGTCCAACTCTTAAATTCACCAGATGTTTCTGTGACTTCTTGGGGCTCTTTCTGAGAAGAAGAGGGAATGAATTATGGGAGGAGTACAGAGAATTTGGTCTTTCCCCCAGTGAAGAAACTTTGTAAAAACAATTCTTTAATACCATGATAATTGAATGTACAATACCTTTCAATGTCATTTTCCCTATTTAATATCTCCATGTAATTATCCTTTAGCCTTAGGTACGTAAAACCAAGTCTGCAAAAGAGAAGACAAACCCATTGGTTAATATGAAATTTTGATATTCCTCTTTCATAGAATATTTGTTTTACATTTTGGTAAAGCTTTCTTTTCAAAAAAGAAGTATTTCTGGTAAAACAAAGGTAGTAACCTGAATTACAAACTTGGCAAATTGTAATACTGAATTTATTCACCATCTCAAAAAATTCCCCAAGAACCTGAAGAAGTTTTGGCTTACTCTCCCCAGTGCCACATCAATGAGGTGCATTCTTATGGCAGCTACTAACAGGTTTCAGAAAAACTGTAGGTCTGTGGATTGGTCCCTATCTGTACTGACCCATTTTTACTCACTGATTAGTGGGGTTGTTTAGTAGAGGTTACATGTCAGAATTAGAAGGACCCTAAGAGACTGTGTATCTCCACACCAACTCTCAGTTTACTGGTGAGAACACTATACCCAGACCAGGCAACCAGCCAGTCAACAAACATCTGCAGAGCCCTTAATCTGTAAGAACGCCCTCCTCTGCCAGCACACACGCCACGTCATGTACTGTTCAGGCAAGTGCTGGGAGTGCAGGGAGGAAAAGGGCATGGCTTCTGGCGTCCAGGAGGTTATAGATACGGGAGATGGACACATACTGTCCCAATACAGCATGGAGCCAGAATGGTAGAAAGGTGCCATGGGACCTTGGGGACCCAATCCAGGCAGGAGCTGGTAAGGCAGCTGAAGGAAAGGCTTCTTAGAAGTGAGTCTAGAATGACAGGCAGGAATACCACATCCTAACTTCTGATACCTATGACTGAATGTGGTTTAATTTCTGAAGACTTGTTTTCCAAGAAGATAGAAATCTAGCTTTGAGAAATCTCCCATTTACTGTGTGTGGATTTATGTATTTAATAAGGTCTGAAGTGATATAATTTACATACCTGATGTTATGATTTAAATTGCATGGAAAACATACATTAGTTTAGTCAACAATGAAAACATTGTTCTAATTAGATGAGGGGTGTTCAATGCCTGCTTATCAATGGTAGCAAAGAGGGAAGATTAGTACTGTTAGTATTAAATTCAAATTGAAAGCTGTGATAATTGGAAAAACATTTTCCTTAATTTGAAATTATGTCACATATTTGGAATATGTAAAGTATTTTTCCAAGTGTTTGCTTGAATGTCACATGTCATGTGGCAGCAAGAACTCCTAATAAAAACATATTGAAGGTAGATGCAAGAAGCACACACACTTAATATGATCAGATACAAAGAAAGGGAAGCTAACAGTAAGAAAGCGCCAGCACTCCAGCTTAATCCCTGTCCACGCTGTGTGACTTCGGGAAAGTTGTTTGACATCTGTGTGCATCAATTCTTTAGGACAGATGAGGAAGACTTTTCATAAGGGTGTCTAAGATTGTTTGCATTTTTAAAAGCCTATCATTATTTGTAATGGCCTCTATCCTTCTTATTAAAGAAGGGAGGAGGAAAAATTACCCACAAGACAGTGACAAAAACTCTGGCAGCCAGGACCCAGCTGCTTCTCAGGCTGATGGCAGGGTGAATTCAGGAAGGACCCACCTCTACCAACGTGGAGATTGAGGAAACAGTGAGCACAAAGGCAGCACTTGCTCAGCTCACCCCTTGGCCAGCGTCCCAGGCACAGGGGCCTGACCAGGACACTTCCAGTAGGAAGCTGGTAGTACACAGCTTAGGGTTGAAAAGGAAGCCAAGACCAGATCGGCACACCCCTCACATCTGGGACCAGACTTGCGTGCAGCCAGAGACATACCTCTGGATACCCTCGACTAAGGCCACCTCATCGGGCGAGGACGATATGTACACACAGGATTTTCCCGAGTCTGGTGACTTCCTGGGCCCATCCACGTCATCGTCATCTTTCACCTGGATAGTGTGGCACAGACAGAGGGCCCGGAAAAACAGCTCTTCTCGTTCCTATAAAAATGCAGTACAAAAACCCACATGTCTATGGCATATCAGCTTAAAGGAGTCGGAAAATAAACAAAGACAATAAACAATGAAGCAGGACATGCAACTTTTATGGGTTAGGAAGTATTAGTTTGCCTTTGGTGGTCAGGAGATAGAGTATAATTGTGGCTTTTGTTCATTCTCAAGCGCGGCTATGGTAGTTATGATCAAGACCAATGGGCAATGAAGACTGAAAGGAAATGAATGTTTAGTGAGATGAGGTGATGGGCTCAAAGTCACAAGAGAACACAGCAGGACAGAGCCTCAGGCCAGCTGAGGCAGTACTGCACGGCCTCCCAGAGCCTGGATTCCTTCGGGAGTCCAGAAAGGGGTTCTGGGATGCCACTGTGGCTGAGGGGGGGCTAAGAAAGGCTGGACTTGCATCACACATGCCAGGTGGGGGGAGTTCCAGCATGTGGCAAAAGGGGGCAATGCCTGTGGGATACCACACAAAGGCCAAAGGCCACCTGCCCGTCCTCTCAGACTGGGGTGAAATGGCAGTTTCTGTATTGGAATCACCTGAAGCGGGGGTATGGTTTGCTTGGCAACAAAAGGCTGTCACAACACAGCTCACTAAGGCAAGCTCTCCTTGGTGCCCTAGGGGACACCACACAGGCCTCTGCAGTCACCGGGCTTTTTGGAATGGCCTCCTGGCTGACCACTGATGAGGGCCATGGCTTTCCCCTAGGAATGCTGAGATCCGAAGCCACAGCAGTTGGGGTGTGTGTGTGCACACGCCCCCCACATGTGCATGCATGTCTGTATGTGACTGTAACTGTGTGGACATATATGAGGACATGTGTGTAGGGGTATATCTGTGTGTGCATGTAGTGTACATGTATACATGTGTGAGTGTGGGGCATGTCTCTGTGAGCATGTGAGCTCACGTGTGTCTGTGTGTGCTGGAGTGTGTGTACCTGTGTATGAGCACAAGCACATGAGGTATGCAGGTCACTTTGCTCGCAGCCCACCACCATTTGCCCTACTTGTCCACATTTTTAAAGCTGTCCCTAACACAATGTGACCAGCCAGATCCACTGGTGGGAAATGGTGGCATCTCACTATTCTTCTCACTCAAGTTGCTGGAAGATTCATGTCTTTCCTGGATCCCAGAACAAGAGGCGACACAAGGCTATCTTGTGAATGGGGACAGTGTGGCAATGATGGCCCCTAAAGGGAGAACACCTGCTGGGAGAGTGGCCACCTACTCTCCCACTGACGCCCGGGGAAGAGTCGATCATGTCGATTCCAGTAGCGCTGGGAAGGACCTGCCCGTTGCAGATGACGTGAGGCACGTAGACATGGCCATCGATGCAGCACTCCTTGAACTCCATGTTGTTCTCCGTGAGGGTGCCGGTCTTGTCTGTGAAGATGTACTCCACCTGTGGACACAAGGCTTGGCTGGGTGGTGCTGCTCTGACCCAGGAGCTGGAGGGGAGGCCTTTGCTCTCCAGAATAAAGGTAGTTTTACTTTTCTCTGGACGCGAAGCTCAGAGAACACACTCTCTTAGTCACTCTACCACGAGTGGAAACATTGGATGGGGCCAGCCTTCCATCTGTTGGAGAGACAGCAGACTGGGGGACGTGGGGCTACAGACCTAAATCTTATCTAACAAAAAACTCAAGGATGTAAATACAATAAACTTATTCTGTAAGGTCTGGGAACTTGAGGCTAGGTTACACCTAGTTTTAAATCCTAAATTGAGATAAACTCAGATTATGTATTCCTCATAGATAACTAAAAGAAGGTGGGAAATTCTGGAATCCATGTAACATGGTGAGGCAGTGTCAGAAACGTGTGTGCCTGCCACTGTCAGAGACCTGCTGGTCTGAGGGCCAGAGGGGAGGTGTCCAGAGGGCTGAGTCCAGGCTCGGTCCCTCCAACACACAGGACAGAGGTAGAGTTTAAAATGATAATAAAGTACAGAGTGTGGGAAGCATAAAAGACCTATAATAAAACCAGCTATGTGTTTTATAATGTGCCTTTTCAGTTAGGTCTCTCAGAAAAATGTTCTTTTTTTTGTCGTAAATCTCACAGCAGAAAATGCCTTTTCCATGTGTGCTTGGCTCTACTAAGTAACTTTTAAGTATAAAGTAATGCCTTATGAACTTAAAAAAAAAACCTGCCATTAAACATTTGCCCAAAACTCTGCTGAGCTGAGCCTCTCCCTATGATCCTGAAAATTAGCAACGTGAGTAAGGTCCACATTTGAGATCACTCCCTGTCACAAACAGCTATGTTGTTTGAGGTGAATGATACCTGACTTTTTTCAAAGTGATGATCCATAATAATAATGAGTATTTCACAATGTTTCCTCCTCTAAAACAAGCCTTTGCACAGATCTCTGGAGCACCTGTGTTACAAAGTCATTCTCAGACTTTGAGTCAAAATAATTTGCTGCACTGCACACAGCTCTACATTTTTCTTGTTACAGAAAATTTTTTTTCCCTCCATTCTCAGGAATACACAAAATATACCATTTATTATTGCAAAGGATATGAAATCCATGGAGGTAAAGATATTTTAGTAATAAGCCACCAAAATATGATTTGTGCATTGCTGACTGAGACAATACTCCACCACCAGGGGCGTGGACTGCCTTAGAGGAATGCATTCAAAGTCAAATTCATGAACAAGCAAAATATTATCTTTTGGTAGTGAAAATCCCTGACCTGAGGAGATGAAGCAGCATGTACCTATCAGAGTCTAAGCATCTATAACAGTGCTGTTTTGAGGCCACAAGGAAGCAGATTTCAGCTACTAGTCTAAAACAGCTGTTTGCAAAAATACTGCTCAACATTTCTTCCTGTTAAAAAAAAATAATAAAAAATTAGCATTTACCAAATGCCCTTTCTTGCAACATGAAGGGTGGGAAGGCTCCCAGTAAAAGCTTGTGGACCCAGGTCAGGAGGACAGGCCTCTCCTTAGGTGTCTTTTTCAAGGGAGAGGCTGTTTGGGGTCAGGTAGACTAGAGTATGGGCTCTGCCCCTCATCCTGGTGATTCTGGATGGCAATGATTCCCACCATTAATGATTCCATTAGACACTGTGGGAGGTGCCTCACCTCTGTTACCTCATTCAATCCCCTCTACTCCCTGGCAAGGCAGGTACCTACTATGCCCATTTTAAAGATTGAGAGGCTCAAGATACACAGAGCCCAGGCCTCCTGCCCCCTGCCATGAAGTTATCAATGAGTAGGAAGATTTCAATGTGGATATTTTGAAATAGCAGTCCAGCAGGCTATTGAAACTCCCTGGGGTCTCACTTTGTTCAGCTTTAAGGTGAGAATAACTGGCTCACTGTCAGGAGTCAAAGCTGAGTGCAATGCCTATGAAGAGGGTCCTCAATAAATGTTAGCCCACTTTTACCCCTTCGCCTCAATTCACAGCATTACCTGGGGTGGGCTCCATTTAGGCCATGGATGAGCTTGTATCAACCGGTTAATATAATTAATTTTGCATAAGTTGTAAATATAAAAGCATACCAACTGTCATACAATTAAAGTAAAAAGAACAAAAGAATTTTGTTGTTGTCTCTCACCATTTAAAGGTTGTATCTTTCTGCACAAATTAAAATGGAAAATTGTCATCTGACCATCTGGATGATTTGCCTACATGATAGGAATCATTTTGAATCTAGCTATCTGTGAACATAAAATGGAGGGACTCAATCATCAAAAGATTATGAAAGACAAATTCAGGAGGCACTGACCTGTCCTAACTCTTCGTTTAAATCTGAGGTGTTGACCAGAGGCCCTTCCCCTATTTCCTCATCAAACATTTCTTCATCCCAGGTGATGAAATACGAGCCAAGGAACTTCTGCATCTCCACCGTGACATACATGGACACAGGGATGATGTAGTTGAACAGAACCATGAAGGCCAGGAAGTCCGTGAATGCCCTGAGAAACTGAGAGGACACTGTGTGATTTCCCATGTCTGCATAACAACATCACAACCATTAAAATGTAGACACAAATTATACAAGTGCAATTTTTAAGTAAGAGTATTTCATACCCTAAGATAAGGTTTATTTGCCTGTCACTTGATTTTAGCACTGCGACGGCCTCAGGCCGGCCAGGCCTGTGGTGGCATCAGGATTAAGTCACCTGCCAGGTGGCTAGGAGACAGCAGGCCTCCCAACTGAGAGCCAGTGGGAAGCTTTACATTTTGAGTATTCCAAGTTTTCTTGGAGGCTCTAACAAATCACCAAATGACTTTGTAATAACCCATAGATGCCAAAAGTATCAGTCTGGTACAAATGACTTTTCTATATAGTTTTGTTCTTATTCCTCAGCCATTTAGATTCATGGGAGGCCCAACTGAATACAAGGAAGAAGTAGGGACCCTAGTCTGGATTTACACAAACCCCACGCTGAACTCAGTGAACCCTGGTCTGGTTTTTGTATCAGACCTGCTCTGGACTCAATGGGCCATGATTTAGATTTGTACAAAGCCCCACACTGAACTCAGTGGGCCCTGGTCTGGATTTGCACACAGCCCACTCTGTACAGAGCTGACACTGGTCTGGAGTTGCACATGGCTTAGGTCTGAACTCAATGGGACCAACCAGAAAACTGTACTGTTTTAAGTAGAGAAAATTCAATTAAATTATTTTAATATACTGATTTTGGGAAAAATACTTTTGTTAAACATGGGCAGCTGAACTGAAATCTCCTAAGGAAAAATGAAACCAATTCTTACCCTAATTTCCATATACTGAGATTCTCCTTTTTACTATATATTTACCATAAGTAAGCACCATTTACCTCACTATCATTAATGTGCATTCACTGAGCATCCTCTAAATATGGAACACTGCACTGGGTTCTGGAACACCAAAAGCATTTAAGGTGCGTCTGTATGAATTTACTATGGGAACCAATACCTTTCCAGACTTGTATATTCAAATACCCAAAGAAGGCAAGAGCAAACAGTGTCTATAGCTAGAGAGGCAACTGATACTTTCAATATCAATGAATGAATCTATTACAAAGATTTAATTCATCATAACTTCATCATTTTCTCAACACATTTTCATAACAACGGCCTACAGGGCATATTTGATCACTGCAAAGGAAATCACTTTCCGTACCAGGTTCCTCTGTCTTTCTGCTTCAGTTTTCTGATTATACCATGGCTCATCTCGGAATGGTTCACTCTGCCACACGTATTTCAGGACAGTATTTATCAGTGCTTTACTGATTAGAATGCAGAGGTACACAATGAGGAATACATTCATTGATCTAAAACACAAGACAGTGATGTTACTTAGTTATTGCTCCGTGAAGAATTGAGAGCTGTACGTCTGTGTATCAAGATGAACACATTGTGAGAAAACAGATTAGGAATAGCACAGCAAGGAGTTTTAATGATGCTTCCCCCTAATCAACTGACAGTGAAAATAAAAGTGTAAGCTCATATCTATCTGCCTCTTCTCTGTGGTCACTGGTATGTGATGCTAGATGCCACAAGGGAAACAGCTAAGTGAAGGGAGAGGTTTGTAAGCAGGACAGGAAACTCCACCACAACCACACTGCGGACAAGGATTTCTGCATGGTCTAGGATTCTATCATTTAAAGAACATCCAGAAATCAATTTCTTCTACCACTAAGTATCAACCAATGGGTCCAAGTTTAGAGATTACCACCACAAAGGAAGGAGGGAGGGAGGGAAGTCAGCACTAAAGGAAATGCTCTCCACGTAAGAATAATGCTGACTCCTGAGCCAATGTCTTAACAGACCTCGTGAAGAATGTGTGATTTTCCAATATCTATTTCTGAATGCTATTTCTGAATAATATATATTTCTGAAACCTATTTGTCAATGTAGACATCTGGAAATAAAGCATTCTTGCTTAAGAACCAAATCTGCATTTTCATATTTGATGTAGCCAGAGACAGACAAGGAACCAAGATTACATTTTGAGATTGACATTTCAAGTATGGGCAGAAGACACCCTAACAACAATCTTACTCCCAAGTCTGCAAGGAGCACATAGCTCTTTGTTAAGTAATTTGTAACCACTCAGGGTCCACTTCAAGTCAATGATATATTTTAACAAGAGGCAAGGACAAAAAAAATTCTGGGGCACATTTTCTGATGAATTCAACTCTCTCCTTAATGTAGTTTTATTAGGATTTTATGGTTTACTAAAAGGAAGACTGTGTTCTCTCTGCTAATGCTTTCCTCAGTAAAATGTGGTTTTCACCACCCCAAATTAAAAATGATCATATTTTGACTTTTTCATGAAATGGTGTTAGGTGCTGTTGAGCACTTGCAAATGACTTTGAACTGGGATGTTGGGGTGTCCACACAGCAGGAGCCTGAGGAAGTGGGTGGAAGGTGTGAGGCCATTTACATCCCCACAAAGTAAGACAGTAGATCTAAATAATCAGCTCTACTGTCTATCTAGACACCGTGAAGGAACTGCTAATAAGGCCAAGAGAAAAATCCTTTCAAATCTACAGTGGTGTGGGATATTCTTAAGTCACAGATTTTTTATGCACTTCAAACAACGGGGCTGAACCTTACTTTTCTACAGCAGATCGTTTCTGGGATTTTGATTGATAATTCAATGCCATCTTGGTTTCCATGCCTGTGTAAATAGCAACACCTATAAAGTAGAAGAATAAATGTCAGAACAATAACATAATTATATTTGCTTTTACATAGTAAGTTACACACAGCTATGAATGAAATGGAATTTTAGATAAAGCAAATTATATTTTTAATTTTACTACACATGTTAGCTATTCACAAGCAGAGTCACAAAACAGGATTCTTTAGACTAAAGATATATTTTTCATTTCCTGCATAAAGAACAATCTATAATTTTTTAAAACTTCAGATTTTAATAAATTGGGTTTTCCAACAATAGGACACACCTATATATTTTAAGTTGTCTCATTTTAATTAAAGCATAAAAAATAATCCACCAAAAAAATGGGAGATACTAGCAAAGAAATGCAGCCACTAGAAGAAATTTGTTACAAAATATACTGTGTAAATTCTTTCATGAGTTAATTTCATCTTTCCGAGTCAAAAACTATAGACACTTAATAGATAAGCAGTATCCTCAGAAGCCATTGCTTTATGGATTATTGCTATACGTCAATACCGTTTTCTTAGAGAGGCAGAATCATCAAGTCCACAGTGTCTCAAAGCACAAGGGATGCTTTCATGGCACCACTACTTTAATTACATAACATACACTTAATTTTAGAGGCTATTATTAATTCACTAATTCAAACATTTACCGAAGATTTTCTCCGTGTTCTTTAGCGTGGCTCCTCTAAGAAGCAAGTTTTCCGATCCTAATGGCCTGTAAAGACAAGAATGACCAGAGACAGGGCAATGGAGAAGTCATCACGAAGGCATGCTACAAGGTAAAAGTCAACTCATTTGCCGAACAGACTTCATTAAGAGGAAATTGTCTAAATGTAGATTTGCTATTTAGATTAGGAAAGGTAGCCTGGCTCCATGTGAAAGTGTGTGTGATCTACCTGTGGGAGGTTAAGAACTTGCCCTGCTGGAAGAATTCTGCAGAGCTCTAGCTTTGCGAGTGCCTGCTGTCTTAGAGCAGCCCTTGCGAGGAATGCAGGCTCCCAGCCCCACCCCAGACCTACTGACAGCTGACGGTTTTAACAACATCCTATCAAGAGACTGCTTGTGAGGGTGGTGGGCTGACAAGCAGGGTCCCTGCACCAGTGCTATCAGCAGCACCTGGGACTTGTCAGAGGTGTCAATTTTGACAGATTGAACCAGAAACCTGCTCCTAATAGGTCTCAGGTTTGAGGACCACTGGACTGGAACACCCCCAAATGTTCTGGAAAAGTGAAAGGGTGGTGCCTGTGAATCAGCTTATGTGGCGTCGAGCTGTTTCTATCACATCCTTAGGGAGACTCAGTGTGTCTCGTGTAATACGATCATACTTTAGAGATGAAGGCTGGGATACTCTGCATGCACTTATAAACACTGGCAGTCAAGTCCACAAAGATCCTCTGAATGCAGGTGGCCTATAAACCTGGAATAATTCGTGCATTGCTACTCTTGGGGGAAAGGGGCAACAACCATGGAATTTGGAAAGCATTCATGTAAGAACAAGCACTGCCCTAAGCACTCAACACTCAAGCGGGACAGCAGACAAAATCTCTGCCTTTAGGAGGTTCACATTCTAGCAGTTCCCTTTGTCGATGGAGTAAAAATTTCTTCTCATTTCCCAAGAACAAAAGAGAAATAAGAAGCAGAATTCAACTCTACAAATTTTGCTATTGTCAGCATTCTACTGATTTTCTTTGAAAGGGAGAGGGAAAGAGTTGAAAGCATTTGCTGAAGTTTGCTTTTTTACTTTTTCAGTGTATTTAATTTCCTTTAACTATGGAATGTTGAGAACCTACTGAATGTTATGAACTTAAAATGTGTTCAGTAAATTTAGCTGATATGGCTTAGGACTGTGTCCAGCTGAAGACGAGACAGAGAGAGGGCTGCTGAGAGTGGAGAGTTGCCTGGGACACACTTGACCTGCCGTGCCTGCCCAGGGCTGTCTGACGGCCTCACCACCGCTGCTCCAGCCTGACAGCCATGAGAGACAGTGCTCCGGGGCGGCACTCTCCCTGCTGTCTGGCTGTACTGTAAGTACTGTCTGCCTCTGTGAGCAGCACTCTTACAATAATTCATGTTGAACATGTTTATGAAAACAAATGGCCCCTTTAAAAAGTGGCTCTGGGAAGTCTAAAGATAATTTACTTTAGAAAGTACTTTGCTTCTTGTTTGGACAGGAGGACAAAGAAATATTACCCTGAATGGATTAAGAACTTAGATATATAATTCATAACTGTCCACACCACAAATTTATAAACATCTTTAAATACCCAAATATTAAAAGCCCGCTGAATAGTATAAATACATAAAAAGTTAAATAGAACTGCTATCGAAATACAAACATATCAGTAATTATCTTCCCAAGCTGCTCAGCATTAAACTTTGTCTAAATATAAAGCATGAAAAGCCTGTTGTATTTACTTTTTTGGATTCATCCCATCAGCAGTATGAATAAATCTAAATCTATTACTTATACAAACACTAATTCACACAAGACACAGAAATTCAGGTTATTTCTCCAAAGTAACTAGGAATTACCTGTAGACTAATATTTGGGAAAGACCATGGCAATGCCTTCATAAATCCTGAAAAGCACCAACTAACCAGCTGATAAATAATGATGATAAAAACATGCTAGGAAGTGCACAAACTGTTTCCTTAAAATAAATCATTTCAGGGGTCTTATGAGGAGATAAGCCCCAATGAATTATATTTCAGTAACATTATTTTTGCAGCAATTTACTTCTGGGCACCTTTTTTTTTTTTTTTTTAAGTATATAAAGTACTATCAGGATATCAGCAATTTGCTGACTGCTAAAAATGGAAGAAAAATAATTTCTCTAACAACTAAGGTTTACAAAAAGGATCAACTTCTAAACCTACTTAAAGACAATTTCCTAAACTGTAGACCTCGAACACCCCTGCAGCTAAGAACTGCCAGGATCTTGAAACAACGTCCATAGCCACAGGCCTAAGGAAGGAGACAGAGCACAGACACAGAGAGATGTGGGCTGGGTGATACACTTGTCCTGACCACATGCAGGTGAACACACCTACCTGTGACTTACACTGGTCACAGCCAATGGCTGGACTACAGGTCCCTACATCCCCAGGTAGACGTGAGCCTGCGACATGCTCTTGTGAGGTACATCCCCTTAAGTCTAGATGAAATCCAGAGCCAAAAATGTATCCTAGTGATGATTATGAGTAGGTTCATACATTCTGATAAAAGGGCTTTCAAGTCAGAAATCTTTCAGCTTCACAGTTGATGACAACATACTTGTCTATAAATTATGAAAGGGAATTTCTAATGGGGGAAACTGCACCCTCTCCTTTGTCCTGGAACTGTTAGATGCTCTGAACTTTCCCTGCTGTGAGAAGACCCTTGGCAAAATCTTGTGAAAGAACATTTTCCACGAGCATCAGTTTGTTAACACATACAGTATACACACAAAAGAAATTAAAAAAACACTAGAACCAGGACTTTAGGAAAGTCGAATTCTGTTTTCAAAGCCCAACAGAACAGCAACAATAAAAAACTCTTATCAGTAAAAAAAAAATCTTCTTATAACTTAAAAATACAGAGAAAAAAAATCTTCACAAGTGTTTAGAAGAAGCCTTACCTCACCACGGGGTCATTCTGATCGTTGTAAACATTTATGCGGCCCACAAACCTGGCAACAGAAAGCGAGGTGACTGACAGGGCAGCAACATGGGAGGGAGAGGCAGACCAACAGCAGGAGGGAGTGGCAGACCGGACATGCCCTGTCCTACACACCCACCTTCTGTTTCTAAGAAAGAAGAAACTACACACATGACCTGGGATTCTTTACTCAAAAGCATATCCACGTGTGGCTAAACCACTCTACCTTCCTCCTCTTTTCTCAGTTTACTTTCTATTTTTATTAACCCCTGACTTAAATGATTTTCATTAAAATCACTTTATCAAAGTACAGAAAAGAATTTTTTCTGCAACAAATTTAGTTCCATTAAGCCACTTTTAATGTTTATATAAGTGGCTATAGATTTAAATGTTGCTGGACTCTGAAAAGACATAAATAACCTATTTTTAACTGGGTCTTAACTTTTTAGCAGTGATTTACATCTCTTTCTAAACAACTGTGCTGCTAGACTATTTAGGGTAGAGAGCAAGAACAATGTTAGGGTATAAAGAGATACTTATGGGGAACACGGATCTGGCTTACTTGTAGAGGTCGGGCTGGGGCTGCTCGCACTCAATGGTAGCATGTAGGCCATCTATATCTTCTTCAGTATGAAATCCCTTTGTGTCTTGAACTGCATAATGTGTCTACAGATTGACAAGAAATGTGAATTCACAACAAAATGAGCAACACAAACAAACCAAGCAGCCAGTGCCTCCAACCCTAGGGCAGCCCCAACATCTAATATTTTGTGCATATAAACAAGACCAATTACAAAGCCTGATTAGCATATGAGAGAATTATAATAGTTTGCAAATGTTAAAAAATTACAGAACTATAGATTACTACCATTATTCCTATGTTTATTAGGTGACAGAAAGTTCTTCCATTCTTACCCAGTATGCTCAACTTAAAACTAATAGCAACACTTGGAATTCTTCAAAATTGGATACCTCAATTTATCTGTCATGGTGGTGACTATCAATTAGGCAACAAATTTAGAAGTTAAAATATTCCTTTTTGTTTACATAACACCCTATTGTTTATAGAGCGCTGCCATCGGCATCAGAAGTGTAAGCTTTCTGCATGGCTTCTCACCTGGCCTTCACCGGAGGCCTCCTCAAACCTGAATGATCACCAGGGTCTCCACGGGGGGCCTGTAAGGCACTGACTCCTGGACCCCACCTGGGACCATGCAGGAAATGCAATTCTCAGGCCCCACCCCAGAGTCTCTGATGCCATGGGGCAGGGGTGGGCCGAGGACTGCATTTCTAACATGACCCTAAGGGATGCCTATGCTGCTGGTCTGGGACTCCATTGGGAGACCACTGGCCCAGATGGTATTAGTAAGCATGAACAGGTGGGCTCACCTTGGGAGGAGAGAGGAAAGAAACACTAGTGGATGAGGGCCTGGGGAAGGAGAGCACATCTCTAAATCTCCTCCTATCTTTCTCTCTAATAATCAAGTGTTAGACAAATAAAGCGTTCCATAAATCAAACAAAAGGAGATAAAATCATGGCAGCACCATCAGCATTTATAAGATCTCAGAGGCATTTATTGTATCTCAAGCACTTGGGGAAACTTTCTAATTATGCCCTCACAAGGGCCCCTGGAAGGCAGGTTTGTCCCTATTTTGTAGATGTGGAAACTCCAGAGAGGTCAAATGTCTGCCATGGTCACACGAGCAATACGTGTTACTAGTGCAGGAGTCCCATGCCCCACTCTGCTTTTAAGGAAAGGGCTCAGATCTACCAGCCCCCGAGCCAAACCAACTGCACAGAAATGACACCAGAGGGCACGCCTTTAAGATGCTGATCACAACACACAAAAGGTCAAAGTGAAACATGGATTCTCTAATAATATCTGCCAGTCTGGGCTGCTATAAAATTTTGCCCTGAAACTAGTGATACACATGGAGCCCTGCAGCGTCTTCAATAGCGATGTTGAGAAGCATTTGAACAACATCCCTCCCGAGGGACAGGATGGGAAGGGCAACCCACTGCCAACAGCGAGGTATGTGGTTCTATTTGTTTTGTTTATTTATTATACACTTTGTCCAACATTTGACTATTACAGAGAAAGATAGGAGGATAATTAGAGATGTTTATTGTCAGGAAGGACAGGAACATAAACTCCCCACAGTTCAGAGACCAGTGGCAGGTTACAATAAACGCCTGACAACCGACCCAGGGATTTCCATTCCCAGAATCACTGTTGCTCATAACTGCTTGTGCCAGAAGGTCAATTCTCTTGGGATATGCTACATAGAAAGCCTGAAAGTAAATGCTGGAAAAACCCCATAGGGCTTTATGCCATGAGTTATCCACAAAAGATTAGCATAACCTTTAGTGTTTTTGCAAAGAAAAATTATCTTTCCCATCTTAGAAATTACCTGTATCCATAGGTATTGCTAAGTACTGTGTTAGAGTTGTAATTTTGTGAGCTGATGCCTTAGAAATGGTTGAATCTACTGAGACATGCTCACTTTCATAGACTCCTTGGAAATTTCCAGATTTTTTAAATAATGAAACCTTGAAATTGATAGTGATATGTTCTATTCTTTCATGATTGTTAATTAAAATTTTGTATCATCAGCTTCCAGTATAGGAATCCATACTGAATGTAAGAAATTAATTATAACTTCAGATATTATTAAAATATTTTAACAAAAAGACACTTATTGAAGTAACAGTGAGGCAAAATATAGACTCATGTGTGACTTTTCACATAATTTCAGGGTAGTAAAGACACTAATTTTGACTGGTAAAATGAAAACTTTCACAATTTCAACAATCTATTCATTACATCCTTAATTTGGTACCTCCCCTGAATGACACAGCTACATAAATAACGTGAAGTTATTTCTGTTAATTCGAGGTGGTTCGTTGTGACAGACACTGAGGGTAGAAAGAAAATAGTACAAAATAGAAAGAAAGAAGCAAAAGTCAAAAACGATTTGGTCAGCACAACTCCCTGGGTTTTCATTGAAAACACTGAATTTCCAAACATAATGTATTCAATAGTTTCTAGCCTTGCAAGCACAGCTGGGATCGGAAGGTAAGACCCTGTCTAGGGTCTCCAATAAAAGGCACATTACTTTGTGACTCGATTCTCCATCTAAGCTGGCAGTTGTCACATGGCAGGTCCCATCTCCACGGCTGCTGGAGAGGAAGATCAGGTCACAGGGGAAGGTCTCATCCTCCTTGACCATGACGATGTCCCCAACCTGCAGGACAGACAGACAGGGCCACTAAATAAACTTGCTTCTGTGCAGCAGGTTTTCCTTTTCCTAAAGTGCCAGCTGATACTCACAGATACCATTATGGTGTTTGTTTATAGGAGGATATGTGGATGCTAATGTAACTCTAGAGGAAGATCATTTCCCAGGCACTGGGAAACCAAGGGCAGGCCAGGTGAGGTTTCAATGTACCAATTTAGATATGTGAATTATCAACGTGCATTATAATTAAATATTTTGCAATGGAAACACACACAAAATCCATAGCAGGATTATTCTGGTTTCAGCTCAACAGGATGAATTCTAGTGTTTCATTAATGTGTCCAGGTGGGGTCTATTCTTGTAGGAAGGTGCTAATTTAAAATTAGGCATTCTATAAACCAGGTATAAGAGCTGTAAAAGTGGGCTGAAAAACAGAACCAAGACGCTGCCGAGCTCACTCAAGCACGACTAAACATAAAGAAGTGAGAATCACAGACATTACAAAAACTAGAGGCAAAATGAGCCAAGAACATTTGTCATACGGATTTTTAAATAAGATGAAATCATCCCAGTTTTAGTACCATCACCAAGCAAGATATCTGACCTCCCAGAAAGGCCCATTTTCTCTGATTGAGACTTTAGACTTTGTGTCTAGAAGGTAAATAACCATCAAAATCCCACCAATCTGGGTGACTAGTTAGAGGGTTTAAAATATGGCCAGTTGCACGGATGCTCCTGCCACCACACGCGAAGCGCTTCCAGAATCGGGACATTGCCGTGCTTCTGTCTGCACTGTCAGGGGAGTTCCCTGTCACACCCCATTATTGTTCCAACTGAGTGTCTGAGAACTTAAAATTGGAGGATTATTCCTCAAACAGACCTTTGGGTTTAGTGAAATTCCAATCAAAATCCCAGCAAAGATTTTTGTAGACACAGATGGACTTATCTTAAAATTTACATGGAAAGGTGTAGGCCCTCAAGCAGCTCCAAGAGTCTTGAACAAGAAGAATGAAGAGGGGGAGTCACCCTGCCAGTGCGAAGGCTTTCGCTGCAGCTGTGTAACCAGGACTGCGCTGGGACTGGCGGAGGTCTGGCACAGAGACCCGTGAAACGGAACAGAGAACACAGAAATCGACCCACACAAAAGTGCTTACTGACTTTTTACAAAGGTACAAAAGCAATTCAATGGAGAAGGGACAGCCTTTCCAAAAAATGATGGTAGAACAACTGGGCAGTCATAGGTGAAAAAAAAGGGAACTTTGCCCGGGCTGGTGTGGCTCAGTGGATTGAGCACCGGGCTGCTAACCAAGTTGGGGGCATGCAAGAAGCAACTGATTGATGTATTTCTTGCACAATGGCGTTTATCTCCCTCTCTGTCTCCCTTCCCTTCTCTAAAAATAAATAAATGAAATCTTTAAAAAAAGGGGGAGGGGACTTTATCCTAAACCTTACATTTCAGATAAAAATTAATTCCAAATCAATCATGAACTTAAATGTAAAATATAAAACTGAAAAACTGTTAAAAAAAAAAAAAAAGCAGAGGAGAGCATCTTTGGGCTCCAGTTTAGGTAAAGAGCTCTTAATCTTGACACTGAAAGCACAATCCATAAAAGGAAAAAAAGATCAATAAATTGGACTTTAAAATTTTAAAAATTTGCTTTGTGAAAACCTCATTAAGGGATTTCTGACAAAGAACTAATATTTAGAATATATGAACTTTCAAAATTCATCAGTAAAGACCCTCAAATAACTCAATTAGAAAATGGATAAAAGACATGAAGAGTCTGATGTCCCCCCACCCAATCCCCTGAAGAGGATGTACTGATGGCAAATAAGCACATGGGAAGATATTCAACACAGTAAGCCATTAGGGAAATGCAAATTTAAACCACACTGAGATATCAAAATGACTAAAATAGTGCCAACACCAAATGCTGGTGAGAATGTGGAGAAACTGGATCTCTCATACATTGCTTATGGGAAAGTAAAATTATCTAGCACTTTGGGATATTTTTTGGCAATTCCTTTTAAAAGTAATAATGAATTCACTATATGGCCCAACAATTCAAGACTTGAGCTTTTATGCTTTTATGGTTGAATTTTCTGCAAAGAGAAATGGAAGTTTTATTCATATAAAAACCTGTACACAAATGTTTACAGCACCTTTATTCATAATAGGTCCAAACTAGAAAGTACCTAAACATCCTTCAGTCTTTGAATGTAAGCAAACTCTGGTCTACCCCACACTGTGGTGTCCAATGAAAGGAAGTAGCTACTGATGCTCACAATGGGTGAAATCAAGGGAATTTAGGCTGAGTGAAAAAAGCCAGTCCCAAAAGGTTTCAAACTGCATGATTCCATTTACATAATGACATTCCTGAAACTGATGAACAAATTGAAGGTTTCTTTTCTAACAGCCTCTCACATCCTCTGAAGGCCTGAGCTATTATGGCCCACGGAAGATGATGCCTAGAGTCACAAGGGCAGCCTGATCGTTCTTCCTTGCCTCACATAGTAGACTTTGAATCTGCTGCTTAGAACAGGTTCGATACAAAGCAGGTATTTCTCATAGGAGATTAATGCATTAAAAATTCAATTTTCTGCTGGTAGACACTGTTTAGGTATGTTTTTAAAGAAAGCGATGTTTATTAAAAGTAACAAATTGCCAGTTATAAAAATAGTCATGGGGATATAAACTATAGGAATATAGTCAACAATATTGGAATAACTATGTACGGTGCCAAATGGGTACTGGATTTACTGGGCTGATCAATCTGTAAGATATATGAATACCATATACCTGAAACTAATACTGTATGTCAACTGTAATTTAAAAAACAATTTAATAAAAAAAGTACAGAAGACTTTAAAAAGGAAATACAGTTGTTCAAGGAAACTGCATTTGGAGCCTGGGATCTGAAGGAGCCTGTTAACAATACATGGGGTCCCCACTGCTGTTCTAATGGCTGCGAGGCCCGCGCTCCCAGCCACTCACCTCCCTGACCCCATGACTACTAGGAAAACGTCACCAATACAGGCTAACTGAGGGCAAGTTCATTCAGAATTACTAAAACAGCTGGACAGTAAAATTAATAAAGCAAAGAAAACGTTTAAAAACTTAAAAATATATACAATAGCATGTATAATACACATAACGTCTGGAAGTAGGTTAACAAAAGTGGATCACATGCTGATGAGCTGTGAACATGCCTCCTGCTGTGTTCTTGTATCCTGGGCCCTGTCCTTTTCCTGAGACAAGCACTGATGCCCAGGCTGACGGGGCTACCCCTCTTTAGGGTCTGCCTGCCAGTGAAGGCCCTCTTTTCCGTCACTTTGCGCGAGGGCTGGCAACACTCCTTTACTGCGACTTCCTGATGTTCCCACCACAATTTCTTGTCAGGAAGCAGCCTAGAGAGACAGTGGAGCTGCCAGGCAACGAGGGAGGTTGGGTGGGTAGGGGAGAAGAGCATGGGCAGGGAGACAAGGACAGGAGAAGGTGACAGAGAAGGACAGCTGGGCTCTGCCCTTAGGTTCAGAGTGAAAAATTACTCCAGGACAAACTGTAAAATTCTACCTATCATTTTTACACATACAGGGGTTTCTAAATGGCTAGTGTAGGTTTATATAATCCACTTAATTTAAACACACATTTGGAGACACAAAATTTTATCAGTTACACTAATAATTCATTGGAAAAAATTAAAATAAAAACTTCGGTGAATTTTTGGAGCCAATTTCCATAATTTCCAACTACTATAGTTTATATTAATGTGATTTTATCTTGTTCTAAAACAGATTTTCTAAAAGTGTTTAGAGCTTTTCTTGTCTTGACTGGTTAGTACAATTCAGCAATTTTCAACTGGTATGCTCCATGAATTTTTAAAACATGTAGTACCTGACTATTTTAGTCAGCGTCACTGACATCTTTTCCCTTAGATTGTCAAATAAAAAAAAAAGATAACAGCCAATGCAACAAGGGCCACCCGGTGTGAATGAATCAAAATTATACCTATTTTCTTTTTGTCAGATCAGCAAAAAACAAATTTTTGGTGTGCCACAGAATTTTAATAATTAGCTCATGTCTTATGCATGCCATGTAATGAAAAATGTTGAAAATTGCTGGTATAATCTCATAAACTCCAGGTAACTCTGGTGGAGCTGCTGATAGTGGGGGGATAAGGTGTATGTGGGAAATTCGTGTACCTTGTGCTCGATTTTGCCTGGTCTTTAAAAAACAGTTTATTAAAACTTTAAAAATAAATAAGTAAAAAAAAGAAAAAAGCTAATGTAAGAGTTTGCCTGAAATATTTGGGGGAAGAGGTTGGGCGTTTACTCAATAAAAAAAACCTGTCACATTTTTAAAAAAACTGTTACTGATTTTAGGCCAGGTAATGGTGTCAGTCATCACTAACCCTCAGCTTTCGGCTCTGCTTCCGAACTAGCTTGCCGTGCTGGATGAAATGGACAGGGCACTGGTTCATGGCGTTATCTGCTTTATGGCGAAGCCAGTCTTCATAGCCCTAAAAAAACAAAAAGAAAGAATCCCATGTGACAAGGGAGAGAAACATGGAGGACCCCTCGGCTCTGAGCCCATCCTTCTGGACTTTGCTGCGATGGGCCACGACTGCAAGTAAGGTATAGCCGGCCTCAGCCCACTGGACAAGCGAGGTGTTCAGGAGCCCTGCGGCCCTGTGCTCCCAGAGTGGCTGTGAGAAGGACTAATGGGGCTGCAGTAAAACCATAAGGCACCTTTTCTCCTTTTTCTCACACCTGAAACCCACCCACTGGCAAATCCTGGTACTTTTCCCTCAAGTCAACCCTAAATCTCCCACTTCTTTGTGTCCCCTGGTCGCCATGCTGGTCAAGGTCCAACCTTTCCTTGGACCTCTAGAAGGTGGGCCCTCCCTGGATTGAACGGAGACATGACTAGCCCATCCCTGCTGGGAGCCCCCAACTCCACACCATCTAATGGGGTTTTCCCAAACTTTATCCTGCATAGACATGTGTGAAATGGCCGTTCCCAAGTCCACTGGGGTGACACACCAGGTGGCTCACTGTCAGGGCCTTGATCTGGGGTCCCTGAAGGGCCAGGGCCTGCTCATGGTCTGAGGTATGGGGTGGGGGTCTTCTAGTTCCCCTTCCACTGCGCTCACCTGGTTCCCAGTCCAAGTATCAGAGAGGCCCTCACCACTAAGATCATAAAGCCCTATAATACACATGCGGGTACGTGTGTGTACATGTGCAGGTACACATGGCTTCTTGGTGTCTGCCTCCCTTACTGGGATGTCCTGTTCAACATTATCATCTCTAGGGCCTACAAAAAAGCTCAGTACATGAAAGAATCTCAGTCATATCTATAGAGTGAACAAATACAGGATACATGTAATGTAGAAAATTAGAAACGAAAAGTAGTTTTTAACGATATATCTAGGCTGTGTTCCACCCAGTCTTTCTGGGTCTTCTGCCTGGTGTTCTCATTTCTATTCTGCAACTCATGCAGGACAATGCATTTTCGAAGATAAAATCCAAGACATAAATAAAAGAATCAAAATAACCTCCCCAAATCAATTTTTACCTTTCTATTACAAAACTATTATGTGGTCTATGGACAAAAATAGGAAATACATAAATCATTCCCCCCCAAAAGAAGCTAATTCTATCAGCCTGCAAAAAATCTATTAATATATAGATTATTAATATACCAAAATTATATATAAATATAATTCTAGCCTATGGGGTTATAGTTTTTCAAAATTAGAAAAATACTGCAGATATTATTCTATTCTGTACCCTTGATACATCATGGACATTTTTCCATGGCAATGTGGGTTGTAGTTATAAATGTATTTCTGATAAACATCTTTACAATTGTATTTTTGTGCATACCCATTATATATTCTTAGTATAGATTCTTAAAAAGAAAATGGCTGAGTCAAAAGATGGGTAAGACTTTTAGGCTTTTAATATGAACTGAACAAAAGTCCTTAAGAAACTTGGTAACAATTATATTTCCACCAGCTGAACTTAAATATTCTATTGAAAAGCACAAGTGAACCTACATACAGTTCCTGACTATGTCTTTTATTGAATCTGGCCACCCAGATTCTTAGCAAAACTGAGTAAAATTCCTGATTCACTCTGTGATAGCCACAAAAAGTTGGGTATAGTTCTCCATGCACATACGTATTTTATTGATTGTAACAAACATTGGAAATTACCAATATGAGCCATTCTTACGTCAGCTCAGATACCAGCTCAAGCATTGTAAATGTAGCCTGACCTAATTCTCATAACTAACAACCCTGCTAAATTCTTTTGGTCTTAAATAGGCACAATTTCAAATTTCAAATCCTTTCCCCAATAGAAGAAAACACATACCTTCCAACCAAGAGTTTGGTGTTTTCTAGATTAACATACTTTTGAGTTGGGTTTTGCTAGGTGTGAAAGTGCGTTTGAGTTAAGGAAGATGAATTACTACTTCTCTGTAGTATTTCTCAGCACATTAAAGGGAAGCCAGGTGCCCAAAGAATTGTCTGCATCTCCAGATGCGGCTACCCATCTGCACCCATGCGGAAACGTTCTGGAACTAGATAGTGGTGATGGTTGCTGCACTAAACTGGCCAACTGGATAGTGAAAATAACTGAGATGCATTCTTTTTACTGGTAGTCATTGGCTTTATTCCTCTGGACCAGAAAGAACAATTCGATCCACACTGAGTGAGTCAGGATTTGGCATGCTATTGTGAAGCCACATCCCAGACCCTCTGTAGGTAAGAGATCCTTGCAGTTAAGAAGGTCGAGAATACAGCCATGTTAAGCAACTTGTCTAAAATCAGACACCTCCTCCGGATGATTCAGGTGAAAACCCTAGTTTCCTCCTCAGACTCGCAGCGCACCAAATTAGCAACTAAGTTATATAATCTCTATTATTTTAACTTGAGCATTAATCTAAAAAAGTTATTAAAAACGAATTTTTATAACACAGTTCAATTGTTCTATAAGATGGCTAAAACAAACCATATTACTTTGCTGTGGTTAAGAGGTGACATCCATACAACAAAGATAACGAGTTTCTTCCTCTATCTGTAAAATTCTTACCTGTTTGATAGCTGTGACAGTAATGACAAAGAACAGTGGAAGTCCACTCGTTACTGGACTTGTAGGTGTATCAATAATCAACTGCAATTAAAAGAGAATTGTAGAGCCATTTTCAAAAACATGCATTAGTGGCTTTAAACAGACTGATTGGCCCCATTACACCACTGCCAAACATCTGCTTTTACTTATTTAAATTGCTTTACTATTACCCCACTTTATCCCACCACCACCAGAGATAAATTAATTAAGAAGTATATCATCCTATGTTACTATAAAACTGAGGGCAATTCTTTTAAATTAAGAGGAATGCTTAAGAAAATGCTGTTAGCTGTGGCAAAGACACAAGTCTAATACCAGTGTACATTTTATTTTAATTTACTACCCTGTTTCTGGTGCTGCACTTTGATTACATTATTTTAACTACCTTGACTGTAATGCTGGGGAAATTTTAAAAGTCCTTCAGTTGTATTTTGTATGATTGAGACAAACTGGGTTGCTGTTCTTAAATCTGACCTATTGTTCCCTAATTCGCACCTCATTGTGGTTTTCACTCTCCTTCTGCATCCCCTCTCTCTTTCTCTTAATGTTTTCTTTGGAGAATCTGTGCTTACTTAGGGAGGGTAATAATGCTTAGCTGGCCTGGTGAATTCTTCCTAAAGGTTAGGAAGCTCCTGATCCCCCCTCCAGTGCTGGAAGTGTGCCAGAACCAACTCACATACAGAGTGCTCATATGCATGTTTTACCATGTAGGTCTCTGTGAACCAACACACTTGTCCTTGAAAAAAATAAAGGAAGAAACTGCAGACAACTGGCACCAAGTGCTTGCTCCTTTCTTATCAGCAAACCATGGTTAATCACCTGAGACTAAAAGGTCACTGGCCTTACCTGTACCAGAAATATGATAAGAAAATAAAAGTTGGCGATTCTTCTGAATTGTTCAAATAAGTTCTTGGGTATGAAGTTCCAAAATGTGTACTGTAGAAAAGAAAAACAAAAAGGTGTCACTTTGATCACATTTTACTTTGCATGATAAGTAGTAGCACTGGATCTCAAGGTACAAAATGTTTAGTCTTAGATTCAAAACTCATAGTTCAAAATGTAGAAAGTTTCTAGACATTTTCTCAGTTTCTTGACCATGAAAACAAACTGCTAACAGAGAATGTGTTCTCCAAGAGTAGGATATGTAACTTACCTCATTATAGATTAATCAAAGTAATGCAAAGCAGCTTAATAATAGTTTTATTATTAAAATGTCTTTCATAAAATATAAACCTATGATTGTTAAATCAAAAGATACATGTTTAGCACTTTTCCTTGACTGTAATTTATTCAAAAGCTCTTTTTTGTGTGTGTGGCTAGGTGCTAAAAGAAAGCTAAACTAGAAGCCAGCATTATTAGGTGGTCTTCAGCACCACACACAAGAGACCTTCCTCTTTATTTAGAGGGAATGGAGAAGCAAGCAGGGAGAGTATTTCTGATATTTTTGCCACAGGAGGAGACTTGCCCTAACTCTTGTGCTGAAGGCAACAATGTCCCAGATGTCGTTAATCTACAGTAAATACTGAGCTGGAAAATTGTTTTTAAAATTCCATTTGACAAGTTTTGCCTTTATGAAGATAGTGTACTGAAGAGTGAGAAAGGGCTATGCCCAGTCTGTACGGTGCCCCTTGCCCTCTGTCTGTACAATGAACAGAACCTACATTAGCTCCCATTAGGTGCGTGTGCTGGTGTCGCATTTCCAGGTGTTAGTTACCCAGCTCCCCTACCAAGAGATCCTTTAATTTCGGAATCTCAAACACAAGTTCCTGAAAATGGAATATAACTAAAGTCTGGCATGGCCCTAAACTAACCAACATATTCTGAATTTGGTTTTTACATCAATTTCACTGTATAGCCACAATTTAAAGAAAAAGTTTCTTTGTCTTAAGTTTCTGACTGCTTAGAGAATATATAGGGAATTTCCATTTTCTATTCTAATTTACATTCACAAGGTCATAATGCAGTTCATTAATGAGAAGGAAAATAAAGTAGCACCCCCTGCCCCCTATCCCATGACAATTATGGACATATTTTCAGTTCCCTTCTAAGGTTGGCCCCAATAAATTACTCCAAGAGGGTCTCTAGAGGTTTAGAAAAGAAATTAATTTTCTAGGTCCTAAACCCATTGCACCCTACCCACCCTTATCTCCCCTGTAGTATTTCAAACTAGTCCTTTATGGGCTATATGTTTTGGAAATATCGTCTCTTAGTGACTTGTCTTCTAATTCTTTTAACAATGTCTTTGAAGAGCAGAAAACTTTAATTTTAATAAAGTCCATCTTATCAATTAGCCTTCATGGTTAATATTACTGGTTTTGTATCAAAAAACTCATTGTCAAACTCAAGGTCACCTAGATTTTCTCCTATGTGTATCATCTAGGATCTTCATAGTTGTATGTTTTACATCTAGGTCTATGATCAGTCTATTTAGAGTTAATTTTGTGAAAAGCATAGAATCAGTGTCTAGATCAGCGATTTCCAACCTTTTTAATCTCATGGCACACATACACTAATTACTAAAATTCTTCAGCACACCAAACAATGTATTACAGTTTTTGTCAATGTGACAAAAAAAAAAAGTTATAATTTTGATTCATTCACACAGGATGGCTATTGTTGGGTTAGCTGTTGTCATTTTTTAATTTGACATTCTAAGGGAAAAGAGGTCAGTGCCCCTAGCTAAATAGTCAGGTATTGCTTGTTTTAAAAATTCCTGTGGCACACTAGCTGAAAAATCACTGGTCTAGATTTTATTTTTTTTTTGCACGTGGATGTCCATTTGTTCTAACGCCATTTGTGGACTTTTCTTTCTCCATTGTACTGCCCTTGCTCCTTTGTCAAAAATCAGTTGATTATATTCATGTGGGTCTATGTCTGAGCTCTCTATTCTGTTCCATTGATCTATTTGTCTATTCTTTCACCAATACCACACTGTCTTTATTACTATAGCTTTATAGAAAGTAGGAAGTCAGGTAGTGTCAGTCTTCCAAATATGTTCTTTTCCTTCAATATTGTGTTGGCTATTCTGGGTTTTTTATATAAGCATTATATTTTGATTAGAATAAGTTTATTGATAACCTAAAAAATAACTTGATGGGATTTTGGTTAATGTTGTGTTGAATCAATAGATTAAGTTGGGAAGAACTCACATCTCAACAGTGTTGAGTTTTCCTATCCATGAACATAGCATATCTCTCCATTTACTTAAATCTTCTTTGATTTCTTTCATCAATGTTTTAGTTTTCCTCATATAGATCTTATACATATTTTGTAGTATTTATACTTAAGTATGTATGTATTTCTTTTCTTTTTGGTGCTATTGTAAATGGCACTGCGTTTCTAATTTTGAATTCTGGTCTGCCAGGTAACGAGCACAAATTTGGAATTTAAAATCAGTTAAATGATTTATTTGTTGTAATCACACATGGAAGACCCATGCTATAGCTTTGACATTAAGCTTTGTAATTTCCACATTTCACAGGGTAAATTACTATGTATTACTCTGAGTTATTAATGTGGTTAAAAAGAGTTATTAATTCTTGGTGATATATGATAATAAAATTGAAAACCAAATGAGATAATTTAAACATTCATTACTACACTAATAATAACATGGATAAAATAAAATAAACATTTTATTACACATGTAAGAGCTGGAACAGTGATAACAATGAGCCAACTGTACATTTTTCATCTTTGTTAAATGATCTAAATATTTGCTTAGACACGTGCGCTACAATATAATGCAATGCTTTGTGTATTACAAAAAATAATAAAATACTCCGATCTATGTTCTGCTATTAAGTCCTATCGTCTGTTGTGATACAATCACTAGAATAGTACTTAATAGTGGAAATCTCTGGTATTGAGCCACAGGCATGGAATAAAGTGGGTTTTTCTTGCTATAAGAAAACTAAGAAGTCTGAGTCTACCAGAGAATCTCCTTTGCTCTAAGATGTTTTGGGAAATGTTAAATTATAGAAGACAATTTGTATTCTTGGCATTTATTTAACATCACAAAAAACTACACGCCCAGAATCTTTGCATTTGTTCCTTGGGTCATTAGCCCTGAGGCGAGAATGCCTCAGGAGCATCTGAGCCTGGTTTTGCCCAATCTCTTCTCTGTGCATGAGTCCCCTCTGGTTCTGAGTTACTCACTGAGAGCATGGCTCAGGACAAAGAACAAAACAGTCTCACTTGGTTTACCTTTAGTCATGTGGGAAAAGAAAAACTCTTTAAGAAAAAAGCCCTGCATGCTGTTCTTCTTCACCAGCTGCCAGGAAGTAAAATGAGAGCACCTGGAAACCACCCGAAAGCCTCAGCTATTATGCACCTGAAAGTGGATCCAGCGCCACAATTGTGCAAGGGACAGTCATAAAGACACGCTGGAGGCCAAGCGCTGTTCTCCCGGGAAGGGCAATCAACTCACACGGAGTTGAAGTTTAACTTTTATGATTGGGAGATGGGACTAGAAAAAATAGAAAATTATTTTCAAATTCTAGATTACTAATGTTAGCAAATGAGTGAGCTTCACAGTACAAGAGGTAGTGCTGGCCCTGCAGAGAAAGTGCTGGGCTCAGGTGCATGGCTGAAGGACCGGCTCATCCACTTTGTTCTGAGGCGTGGTGTCCTCAGGAATAGGCTGGATTTATACTAGTGGCCTCACAGGGTTGTTTCAGAGCTTAAATGGCATGATAAACTTGGAAGTCATTAAGAACACTGCTCATATCTAATTGGTAGAGGTAACTTTCCCTTGCCAATACTCAAAAATTATTTAGCTTTGTTGAAGGTATGGAGTGACAGTACAGCCTGAGCCTACTATTTAATTATGTAGCATCTTAGGACAGAGCTGCCAGCTGCATGAATTTTGTGCCCAAAAGTCGTTTTGTGAAACTGATGAGGCAGTGCTCCATCGTTCTCTTGAGTCCAGATCTGCCAGCGTGGCGAGCTCAGGCAGGCCCCGGGGGGCACTGCTGCGTGTGGTCAGAAGCAAAGAAACGGGGACAGGCTGGGGAGTCATTTCTTGGTTTTCTTTTTTCTATCAGACCCCTGTCTGGTATGTCTCTCTCAAAAAGGAAATGGAACTTGAATCAGCCACTGATCATCACTGACTCTGCTTCTATGGCCCAGGCCCAGAAGTTTAACATAATTAGACTTCCCTTTTCATCCCCTTGTATAAATATGCACATCATTAATGGGACTTAGTGAACATACACTTCCATGTACTTAAGAAGTCTTAGCTAGCAGCCTTTCCCTTTAAGGTAGAAATAAAACTTGTCTTCCCAAGAAAATGTAGATACATTACCACAAACATATTCTCCAAACCTGCTTATAAACTTATGTTTTACAAATTAAATCATATTTTTCATATTTCCTGAGGTGGTTTTAAATGAAAACAATAACATGCTCTAGATTTCCTCTCCAGTTGGTCTAAACCAATGCTACTGTCCACCCAGCTACTGACTTAGATTCTAAATCTCCTTGATTCTTGGAGGTCCTCTTGCAAACGGAATCTGATTAGCGATAGAAGCGATGCTGTACATAACTTTCCTTGAAATTACACACCATCGTCTACTGATACAAAGCCACTAATCTGCTCTTTGAGGGATGAAGAACATTCTCTGCACACACATAAATTTGAGAACACAGTCCCCTCTCTAAGCTGAGATGAAAGTCAATGAGTCCTTTACCCAACACTTAAGCCCTCTTCTGTGGAGCCCAAGCTGACCTGCCTCCTGAAAGGATGTTGACTTAATTCTATTAGTTCCTACTCCAGAGTCTTCTGGTAATGAAGGCATTTTCTTGAGAAAAGCAGTTTGAAAAAGGCCCCCAGCACTTGCAAGTCTTGATCAAACCCAAGTCTTGATCAAATCCCATGTCCAGCACAGGGTTTCTTTTGTCAAAAACCAAGGAGGCTCGGGAGGCTCCAGTTCATGTAGGACAGCTGGGGACAGGTAGGTACCAGCGCAGGGAGAGAAAAAGATATTTCAGACAGAAGAAGAGAAAAGGCAGTGAATTGTAGAGTGAGGAGGTAAGACAAGGCATCTCAAATTTATTGTTGGCTACTGACTGCGGGAATATTTGAAAGAAAAATAGGAGACTATGTTGGCTATAAAACTTGAATCAGATAACAAAAAGGATGGGATTCAGAAATCACTGCTTTCAATTTTTCTTCTCCAAAAAATTGACAGGCACTTTTAGAATAAATAAAGCATCCCTCAATTTCCAGCTATATTCTGCCAATTGCATCAAGAAGGCCTTTTGATGTCTCCAGTCAACCAGGTGCTCTGCACTTCAGAAAGTTCCTCCACGAGGCCTTGTATAGAACTTTCCACATATACCAGAAGAAACTGAGGGCTGAAACATTCAAGGCCAATCTTTGTCCTCAGAAGGAGAGAGCAGCTGCACAGGGATTTGTATCAGTGGCTCAAGTGCCTTTGACAAACATCCTACCCACATCAGACACTAGATAGTGAGGGCAGGTCATGTGCTTTATCACCTGTCCTCTCCTGACAAGTTCACACATGGAACATTTTAATGTTTTTCAGTGCACTGCCTGTTTTTTGTTTTTTTTTTTTAAATTGGTTTTTGAGAGAGAGGAAGGGAGAGGGAAATGTCAATCTGTTGTTCCTTCCACCCATGCATTCCGTGGTTGGTGCTTCCACCTGCCCTGCCTAACCAGGGGTCAAACCCACCACCTTGGCGTATGGAGATGACACTCCTATCAACTGAGCCAGGGCCCTGGACTGTTTCTTGAAGCATATGTACTGCAAAGGAGCAGATTTTTAAGAAATGTTTTTAAAAGAAACAAACTTATAGATACAGAGAATAAACTGATGGTTGCCAGAGAAGAGGGGTTTAGAGGGGATGAGTGAAAAAGGTGAAGGGCATAAGAAGTATAAATGGCCAGTTATAAAAATAGTCACAGGAATATAAAGTATAGCATAGGAAACATAGTCAATAATATTGTAATAATTGTGTATGGTGTCAAATGGGTACTCTAAGTTATATACATGTTTAATCACTGTGTTGTATACCCAGAACTATTATATCGTATGTCAACTATAATTTAAATTTTTTTAAAAAATTTAAAAAAGAAATGTTTTTGAGATTTTTTTCTTCTTTGGTCACACTAGTGAGTTGACAGAGTACATATGTGCACTAAAGGTGATCTCTACTTGAGATTGCCAACTTTATAAATGTCACTACTGGACAGACTTGTTTCGGGATATGGAGTTCTTCTTCATTTTACCTGTCCTTTCATTTATCGTATCTGGGTAACCATGCACTATGTTTAACTTGGTTGAGATTTTGTTCATAAGCAATTACCCACACTGTGTTTCTGGGGATTAAAGCTGCTATTATGATTATGATTATTATTTTACATTGCAGTTTTAAAATAATATAACTCCATTTAAGACTGTCTTGAAAAGCAAAGTTTTTTTATGTGCAAGTATTGTTAGCCAACACTCTTTGATAACTCACAGAAAATGAGTACGTCTCCCACACAGATCCACACATCCAGTGAACCCAGGGCTGTGTGCATGCCTTCATGGCCACGTGTGTGTAGGCCCCTAAAGGGAAAGTTCTCTGTAATCTGGAAAGCCACCTTTTTTGGTCAAAGCCAGCTACAAAATTCTCCACCCTATTCTCAAGACCCATTTACAAGGTTACTCTCTCAACGTGTTACACAGGCCCCTGCAATCCCACTCTCTTATCAACAAAAACAAGACGCTTTGTTGAAATGATGACATTCTAATCATGTTTCTTCCCCTTTGCATTTATTGCACCAAATTGGCAGACTTGGTGCTTTTGTTTACAAGGTGGTGGTACACACACCATTTCATTGGTGACATCTTGTGTCATCTCTAATTTATAGATACGGAAACTCACCCCTGGGGTGGTTCATGATTAGCGCATAGCCAGACAGCAAATAAATAAGTGGCAGTAGTAAGAATTGAACATCCTGGACTTCAAATTTGACACTCTATCCACGATATAATTAAAAGAGGAATGATGACAATGTGCTGTGACATCTTGGCAAGTCTGAAGTGTTTTGGGGATAACCAGAGGTATAGTGCGTTCACAAGCCCCATGCAAATGATAATCACAGCCCTTAGCTGGGAGTGGATAGCAGCTGTTAACAGCAGTTCTAGGAGCAGTGTAGCTAACTGCTGTCAGAAAGTTCCAATGCTGCCCAAAGGAAATTAATAAATACTCAGACAGGAGGTTACCTTGGAAGAGACTATCCTGTTGTCTGGGTACCTCTGCGGAATGTAGGCCTCAGCACCTGGGGGGGGCTCCTTATGTCCCACGTAAATGGTCCGACTGTCGACCCAATTCTCTTCTCCAGCACACTATGGAAAACAGAGTAGTATTAGCACAAGTGCCTCAGACTCCGGTGTGAAAGTTCTTCCCTGAAGGCTTGGCTTTAACACTTGCCCATATTAACAGAAACCAGTGCTGCCCGACTTACAGCATCATACAAGCCACAAGGCAGAGCTGGGCCCCACCTGCCATCGCCGGAGCTGCCCCTGATCTTACTCAACCCTTATGGGCTAAGTTCTCCAAATCCCTGCCCAGTCCTTCAAGGAAACAGTCTCAGCAGGGGTTCTGCACTCCAGTGAGAGCTGAGGGGTAGCCTTGAAAAAGCTGATTGTCAGTGGAAATAACTCAGGACCGGTTCATGTAAAAAACAGAACACAGCAGCAAAATCTTAAGGCTTCCAAAAGAGGAAAGGCAATGAGGGTTAGGAATTTGCAGAAAGGTCTCTAAAGAAGACAGTAAAACCTTGAATTCAGAATGAACGAATTATTCAACCATTTTAGGTATGTCTATCAATAAGGCTTTCCTGGAAGGACAGAAGACTGGGGTCTGACTCATCTTTGTCTTACTCAGAGTGTTGTATGCACAAAGCACTAAGTAAATATCTTCTGAATAGAAGGATCTTTTAAAAACACCAACCAGACTGTGTGCTGCCAGCACTTAAGTGCCTAATAAAAACACTACAGTTACTGATTAAAAACTAAAATGCCGCTTCCTCTCGAAGCCCCAGCACAGAGTCCTGGTCCCCCCTCAGACTAGCATCCCAGAACATGGTCCTAGATTCCTCCTAAACTAGCCGCCCTGGCCTGCGGTCCTAGGTCCCCCTTAGACTAGCATCCCAGCACAGGGTTGTGGGCATCACATCCCAATTCCTCTCAAGGAACGCTGAAGATACCAGCTTCCCTGGGGTATAACAAACAGTGCTGAAAAAGAGACGGAAACCTTCTTAGTTGAAGATAAAGTCAATGCAATAGAACAGGAAGAATGAATGGGCATCAGAGAAGACCTGGCTCAGTTGTTGCTGAGACACTCAAGAGCCTGAACTCAACTTCGTCATCCATGAAAGCAGTGATAGCACTTTCTTCAGAGTTCTCAAGAATGAACTGGGGCAACAAAACAAAACATACGGTAATGCCCCCAGCCTGGTACAGGCTCCTTCTGCTCTCCATCACTGGGTCCACCCGTTGTGGCTTCAGAGAACCCTCACTTTCTGAAGCCAAATAGGGGTGACAAGAAATACGGCATTTCTACTGTTTAGTTATCATGAGTCTTACATTGCCTTTTTTCTCCCCTTTTTTCCTTATACTATGATCTCCTTTGCTTATCTGTCAATGTCCTGGGAATAATTTTAGAAGACTTTTGATGTTTCTCCACCACCCCCACCCTCTGCCCACCCAGTGCATTACCCACGGCAGCTGCACGCTTGCACATTCCCTTTGTAAATTCCACCTACGTTTCCTTTATTAGAGTCTACCTTTGCTGGATGGTTCAAGTGACTAAAGGATAAAGAGCAAAGTGGTCTCTGTAACTCCACCCGTGTTTCAGAGATGCTCAGCAGGGACACAGGAAATGGCGCAAGGTCCTTGGAACAGAACAGGCACTGGTGCCACCTGCCTCACTCTCCATGAGCAGAGTACTTCCTCCTTGGCACAAACTTGGCATGTGGCTCGCTCTCAGGAGCCTGCTACTCTGTCGTAACAAGGGGATGCTGAGGGCCAGGCACAGCTTCCAGGCAAGCCTGGCCCTCCGTCCTCGGGCTGGCTCAGGGCCCCATGGCCCTTCCCTGTAGTTTTCCTATTTTGGGTGAGGCCACCTGTGAGGGATGTTTACTTTAAAACCTGTCTAAGGGCTTCATAAATAAATTTCTGGATATGAAAGTTAAGAAAATAGAACAAGTCCCTGACCTCCCTTTATTTCTCAGAGCAGGGCCAAACATGTGCCTCTCATTCCTGTGGATTCAGGAAGTTACATTGAAAAAGAGTATGTAACAAATGAACCAGAAGAGGAAAGGCACAAAAAATATATAAATTTTAATACAAAAATAGAAAACCTTTCTTCTAAACTTCACAGACAGCACTTGGCTTTAAGCCTTAGTACTAACTCTGGAAGCTCAAATCTTCCTATAGGTCATGCTGTGGTGCCCTGTCATGGAAGCTGGTGCTTCCTGGACACTTCTGGCCTGGGACAGAAAGGACCCCTGTCTCTAGGGAGGCAAAGTCAGAATGAATCTTATTAAGGTTCATCCATATTCTCAACACTGTCTAGTAGATGCTTATTACTTTTAATGTAATTGTTTAACACCTCAAATATAACTCAACACTGCAGTGCCGTTTTAACTAATACAAGTCAGAAGGACACTGTCCCTGCCTGTGGGACAGGACGGGAAAATGAACTGAACACCCTCATGCAGTAGGACTGGCCTAAATCATTCCAACACAAAAGTCATTTGGGAATGAACCGTGTACTTGCTAAATGAAAGCTGAACCCTGTATAACAAAGCTGCCTTTGTACAGTTTCCCGAGGATAAAACCAGAAGCAACAACCCAGAAGTTTCTTTAGCTCCTTGCTTCTATTAACAGGTTACAACTCAGTGGACTGAAATATGTCAGTGAAGCTACATTTCCATCTGACTTTGCTCACTGCTTAGCATCACAGACCCCAAGGAGTGACACAGAAGAACTACACTTTCTGAAGGCATAAAGTTACCAGGTGATCTTACACATGACACAGACAGGCGGGGGACATTTTTGAGTTCAGATTAAGACCAAGGTGAGCTCTATATGTTGTTCTATGCACAAATGTTCAATTCTAAGAAGGCTAAAATTAAATGTTCAAAAGGTGCAGAGACTACAACAAATAGGAAACTCCTGGAGAATGCCCGGTATGTATAACCAGTTATAATTACTCCCATGTGGCCATGCATGTGACGTGCTGCTGATGGGCTGTGTGACTATGGTGGAGTGACTCAACATAACTTTTTAAATTTATTTTTATTTTATTTAGTCTTTAGTGTATTTTTTCTATTATCTTTTAGTCCCTTTATATCTCCCTGCCCCGAGCAATCACCACACTGTTGTCCATGTCCATGAGTCCTTTTTCCTTTTTGTTCAGTCCCTCCATCCCCTAACCTCCAGTCCCCGACCCTCCACTAGCTGTCATCCTGCTCTCTATCTATGGGTCTGTTGCCATTTTCCTTGTTAGTTCAAGTTTGTTCATTAGATTCCACATATGAGTGAAATCGTATGGTATTTGTCTGTCTCTGACTGGCTTATTTCATTTAGCCAAATGCTCTCCCGGTTCATCCATACTGTCACAAGGAGTAAAATGTTCTTTTTTTTACAGCCGAGTAGTATTCCATTATGTAAATGTCCCATAGTTGTTTTATCCACTCATCTATTGATGGACACTTGGGTTGCTTCCATATCTTGATGATTATAAGTAATGCTGCAATGAACATGAGGTGCTTATGTTCTTTTGAATCAGTGTTTTGGGTCCCTTCAGATATATCCCAGAAGTGGGACTGCTGGGTCAAAAGGCAGATCCATTTTTAATTTTTTGAGGTATCTCCATGCTGCTCTCCACAGTGGCTGCACCAGTCTGCTTTCCCACCAACAGTACAAAACGGTTCTCCTTACTCCACATCTTCACCAGCGCTTGTTTGCTGATTTATTGATGACAGCCATTCTGAAAGGTGTGAGATGATATCTCATTGTGGTTTTAATTTTCATTTCTCTGATGATTAGTGACATTGAGCATCTTTTCATATGTCTATTGTCCTCTTTGGAGAGTGCCTATTCATGTCCTTTGCCCATTTTTTAATTGGGTTTTTTGGTGTTGAGTTTTGTCTAAGTTCTTTATAAATTTTTGATATTAACCCCTTATCAGGTATATTAGCGAATATGTTCTCCCATTCTGTGGGGTGCCTTTTTGTTTTCTTGATGATTTCTTCGGATGTGCAAAAACTTTTTAGTTTGATGTAGTCCCATTTATTTTCTTTTGTTTCCCTTGCCTGGGGAGATATATCCAATAAAAAAATTGCTTCAAGCAATGTCCGGGATTTTGCTGCCTACGTTTTCTTCTACGATTTTTATGGTTTTGGGTCTAACATTTAAGTCTTTGATACATTTTCAATTTATTCTTGTGTGTGGTGTAAGAAGATGGTCTAATTTCATTTTTCTGCATGTATCTGTCCAATTTTCCCAATACCATTTATTGAATAAACTATCTTTAGCCCATTGTATGTGCTTACTTCCTCTGTCAAATATTAATTGACTATAAAGATGTGGGTTTATTTCTGGGCTCTCTTGTTCCATTGATCTATGTGTCTGTTCCATTGATCTATGTGTCTGCTTTTATTGATCTATGTGTTTGTTTTTATGCCAGTACCATGCTGTTTTGATTACTATGGCCTTATAGTATAGTTTGATATTAGGTAGCATGATTCCTCCAACTTTGTTCTTCTTTCTCAGGATCACTGTTGCTATGTGGGGCTTTTTGTGGTTCCATATACATTTTTCAAATATTTATTCTAGTTCTGTGAAATATGTCATTGGATTCTTGATAGGAATTGTGTTTACCCAACTGCTTTGGGTAGTTTTTACTACTTCCTTTCCAATTTGGATACTTTTTATTTCTTCTTCTTGTCTGATTGCTGTAGCTAGGACTTCCAGTACTACGTTGAATAAGAGACGTGAAAAATGGATATCCCTGTCTTGTTCCCAATCTTAAGAGGAATGCTTACACTTTTTGCCCATTGAGTATGATGCTGGCAGTGGGTTTGTCATATATGGCCTTTGTTATGTTTAAGTATGTTCCCTCTATTCCTAGTTTGCTGAGAGTTTTTATCATAAATCGGTGCTAGATTTTATCAAATGCTTTTTTTGCATCTATTCATATGATCATGTGGTTTTTATCCTTCATTTTGTTTATGTGGTGAGTCACATTTATTGATTTGTAAATGTGGTACAAATCTTGCACTCCCAGAATAAATCCCAATTGATCATGGTGTATGATCTTTTTGATGCATTGCTTT